TCCATTTCAGATTAGACTATGTATCTAGATAGCCTACATTGGATTAACTATAAGTGAGTTAAAGATAGTAAGATAAAAGGCAAAAACCTGACCTCCACATAATAGTTGAAAGCAAGCTTGCTGATCAGTAGCATAATCCAGAAGAAGGTATACCTGACCAAGTTGGGCTATATGAGAACAGGCTAGTATATAAGAGTTCAAAAGAAACATTTATGAAGTTAGATAATGGTAGAAGATGTGGTAATCACTGACTTGAAGAGAGAGAACATGTCCTCATGCATACCCCTTCCAACATATAGCTTTGGCTACAAGAAGGAAAAGCATAAAGAAACAAAGATCACAAAAAGCAATACAAAAGTGAATACCAGTATATTTAAGAACGACAAGTAAAGTTTAACTAATACTTGCCTGAGCCCACCACATTATAACCTTGATAATTCGCATGTTTGAACACTCCATGACTCTCCGGAATGGTGGAACAAGGAAAAACACAGCTGCCAGTATGTTTGGTAACACGTAAAATGAAACAGCGTACGTATAAAAAGACTGATCCTTCCAATCCCCAGTCCAAGTGCTGAAGAATTTTACAACTCCAGTCGGGCGTTGAACAGACTTAGAGTAAGCAATTGGAAGTAACACTGCCCACATAGCTGCTACTGCAAACTTCAGCAGGTACCGCAATATCTGGGAAAACTTGAAATTCTTCCAGGCATTGAAATTAAGGATAATATCCAGTGCAGCTATATATAAGGGAAAGAGAGGACAAGGAACACCATTAGAACATCAATTAAGAATTGTCATTAATAAAAAAGAAACTATAAAGGAATCACAACCTTGTAAAAGAGTCAGATACGCCGAAGTAATAAAAATAGTTAACACCGTTTTGAATACATCCTTGTCAAAGATAGCGCCTAGGGACCCAGAACCATGCCATCCAACTATTACCATAGCCTACAAAAGATAAAGATAAGTGTAATTATATAACTTATTTAGTTTTCAGACTAACAACTCTTTCGATAAGATCATGATAGCAACTTAATTTACCTGAAATGCCATGATAAGAAATATCCACATTCGATCAAAATCTCTGAAGAGGTTCCAGAATGTGCGGACTTCGACAAAGTTTGTTTTAGGCTTGCTTTTCCCGTAAGTGACTTCACTCAGCCTCTGCAATACATTAGACTTACAGATTATGTTTCTGTAGTATCACAAAATGGAAGGCTAAAAGAGAGATAGAAATGTTCATAAAGCTGATGTATCATAATTTGGGCTTGTTTTCCCCAACCTAACTTGATCATAGCTATCTACAACCTAACAAACACCTTGATAACATAAATTGTGGAAGTTATGTGTAGATAGCCTCATATTAGTTGAATTTTGTATCTACCATAAGATAAGGATATGTTTTATGTGCCTACATTTATTATATTGCAGGACTGTGAAAAACCAAAGCATAAGACTGCTTTCTAAAACTAAGCGCACATAACTTAAACAACAACAAAGTCTCATACCCTACTAAATATAACGAAGATTACAGCTACAGAATCAAATTATATATATACCTCGTTCTGTGCGGTTCTCTCGTCAGAGTCTAGGAAAAAGTCTGCTTTAAGGTTCAGAGGCCATCCTATCTTGAAGCACTTCCTAGACCTTCAAATAAATAAATATGGCAGCAGTCAGAAACTAGATAAAGCAGGCGTGTGTCAATAATATAGTGAAGAGAGTCACCAAAAGTATTCATTCAAATCATCATAATTTCTCCATTGTGAATGGCTTGCTGTGCCCCCCTTGTTTCTTCTGGCTTCCTTCAAGGTAAGTACAGTCATTTTCAGTCACAAGATAGTGTACACTGTACAGTTCCTGATAAGATATATACATCATTAATGACCTTGATATATTACCTTGCGTATGACCTTATAGATTGGAGTTATAACATTTCTCAAAAACGATTCTTCATCAATAACTTCTTCGGTTTCATAAGTTTCACCACTTACAGCTTCAACATTGCTAAACAGAATTCCATAGACGTCATTTGCCATCTTAAGAACAGTAACAAAAGAACACAGACAAGAAAAGCATTTCAGACCATTCAGAACCTGAAGAATGTTAATGGAAAGTATGCACATGTAATTCTACAACTGAGAAAACTTACATTGTGGAAAATATAGCAGATACATTCGGGCATAAATCTAACATTTGAGGCTTCACCCCATATTAAAAGGTACAGGGAAATATAGATAAGCTGCAGCTGCTGTTCATCACAATCGTCGGGAAACCTTTTAAGAATCGAAAGAAGCATCCAACATCAGATATGTGACCCAAAGACAAGAACATAATGCAAAAATAAAATCTTTGGAACTTTATCTCATAATCTCGATCAAGATATAACATACCTGAGATTAGACTTACAGTGCAAATATTTACACCATGAGCAATAACTTTTAAAAGTTTTGTCCATCAACTCAGTGACTGTGCTAGGTTTCAACTGCAAGAAACTTACAACATTACTAACGATAAGGGGTAACAGGAAGATGTGTAGGAGAAATATCGAGAGCTTTCATACAACAATGGTCACCTCATCATATTCTTCATCATTTCTCTTTCGAATATCGGAATTAGCAAGAAGCAGTATAATGTGCTCCCTTTGGTTTGCCACGTTCCCTCTCTTTAATCAGCATATGAAGTGAAACAACAATGAATATGCAACGATTCGCATAAGAAAGAAGGTGCGGAAAATGAATGCAAGAAAAACTAAGTAAACATTGCCTAGCAGATCGTGACCAACCACAATAGGAGTTATACAAAATAAAAGTACATAAAGACAGATACATAGCACGGTACCTGAAACCCAAACTCAGAAGCAAGCCATTCAAGAATGTCATTAAGTTTGGTTCTAGCCTTACGCATTTCACTGGGAGCATTAGATGGCAAGTGAACTCTTCGTCGAGGAAGATTGCGCACATTACGGACAGCACTGAATGCAGCCTTGACCTAATATTGCAACAGCACATAACATGACAGGAAAATAAAAACCAAGTGTAAATATATCTGTAGCATATTAATTTAGTAACCCTGTGTTCAAACGCACCTCAGGAAGTTCAACAATTGCTGGTTTCGTTCCTACAGCATATAAAGGAAGAATATTGTAGTGCTCATATCTATCTCTTTTCCTTTCAACTTCTTCGGCATATCTACGGGTCTATAATAAAAGAAGAAGGAAACAAGCATATAAAAACGAGGCTTCACAGAGAAAATGGAATCAAACTACCATTACAGGAATTTACTACGCATATAAATATCAAACCTCGTAATCCACTTTTGGAGAAGGTACAACAGTCTTCAGTACGTCATACAACACCGAGGCAATTTGGTAAAGCCTAGCCATCTCCTCCCTTCAGCAAAAAAACAAAAAACAAAAGGTGAAAACATAAGAGTACCGCTTAATATGACAACAACTTAGTTGATTGAATCTTTGCCAGGAATTAGGAAAGTGGCCTTACGGTTTTCTTGATGTTTCTCCCTCTTTAATATATTTCTCATAGAAGTTTTGGTAATACGCCTGAATCTCTCTAGGATCGTTCTTGGCCAGCTGAGGCTTGGTTTCCTCTTCTTCCTAAAACACAAAATAGGATACATCAGCTCAACATGATCAAGTAAAGTAGGAAATCTTGTTACAACTTAGATTCAGCAAGAAAGGATGTATACATATACCTTCTCAAGTCTATGTAACAGATAGGTCTTGAACTGACGAACACCTCGTCCACTCGATGTAGCATCCATCCTATGAGCTTTCTCAAAAGCATGAAACCGGCCTGATGTAGTAAAAAAAAGCAAAAGACTTGTTGGGAAACAAATAGAAACTCAAAATTATCAGAAACAAAGACTTGTAATTTAGATTAGGAAATAAAAGAAAACAGAACTCACAGAGATAAGCAACTCGAGGATTATCCTTTTCGATTTCATTAGCAACGCGAAGAATGGGAGCAATAGAAGCGAGAGAGGAAGGAACAAGCTCGCTATCCATAGCGCTAGCATCTTCATTGGGTCTATCAATCATCATAGTGGTGGCACGCGACGGAGCTCTCCGGGAGAGAGAACGCGGCAACTCCGAAGTTCCACTAGAACTAGCTTCCATAGCCGCCGTGACAATGAATCGAAACAACAATTACTAGTACAAGTGTACAATCACTGTCGTCTCCTCCTCTTGCACAAAAAGAAAAAACCCAATAATATCTCCGTCTTCGTCAAAGCAAAGTGTTCACTGAAAGCAAAGTAAACAAATACTATCATATTTGATAAATTGGTCTCCTTTTATACCCACTTTATAGGGGAAAAAAGAAGAGAGATTGATAAAAGAAGGCAAAAGGGTTTTCTTCGAGAGATTGGGTAATTCTATATTTATATATCTTTCTGCTTTTCTCCGTCTAAGCTTTTCCATCTTTCTTTTTTTTTTTTTTTTTTTGCTTTTCTTCTCTGGGCATAGTACGAAGCTCTCTCTATCTCTCTTTATATTCTTTTACTTAGCGAGGAAGGTGACAGTGGAGAAGGAGGAGAAGAAAGACGAAAACAGAAGACCAAACACTACACAAATATCCAAAAAGTTCATAAACGGCTATTTAAGGTTTTTTATTTTTCCTTTTTTTCGCCATCGGAATTTTACTATTTCCTTTTTTCCATCGGATTTTTACTATTTCCTTTTTTTCCCGTCGGATTTTTATTATTTCCTTTTTTTGCTATCGGGTTTTTACTATTTCCTATTTTTTGCCATCGGCCATCGGATTTTTTATTATTTCCTTTTTTTTAACTCAGATCCGTCAATTTCATTATAACAAACCTAATACGACAACGTTTCGTGATGACAAATAAAAATGTCCAAAACGTAGCGCTACGTTGGTTAGAAAGAACTCGCGCCATAAATTTTCGAAAATGGCCAAAATACGACACCGCTTAGTACTGTACTCGACTTACGGCGTTATCTAGCACAAGGATGCGTCGTCGTTTTGAAAAGAATACTACGTATAAAAAAGCAATTTAACGACGCTGTTTCGGAAGGAAGACAAAGTTGTATCTTCTTCCCTGAGATCACATTTTATATCCACTAGTCTCTCAACACATGACATTGATGAACCTAAAACAACTAAATACTGCAATCAAAAGTTTAATATTTACATAGCTTTCAAACCTCCATTTCTATCTTATAAACAATTTTTTTCCTTTTCTTCCAAAGCCACACAGAGAGAAGAAGAAGAAGAACATGAGCCTTGTTTCCACTTTCATTCATTCTAGCACAATACACCACATTTGGGCATAAGAACCACTCCCCAATCCCCACCAGGTTTTTTCCCGGTGACTAGAGAAGAAATTTGGCGGATTTTTGCTTCAGGCCAACACTTATATAATGATTCTTTGGTTCATATAGGACTTGCCTTAGATACCTACACCATTGTGTCCCCAACCAAAAAAATGTTACGTGACCTCCTTAAACAATCGATAGTTGATAAAAGAAGAAACTCTGAAACGACCTCACAGTCACTAATGGAAATGAACACAACTATCTAACTTTAGGCTTTTCCTTTGTGTTTCAACTATGTATTCATGTTCAGACCACGGTTTTATTCAAACCTTTCTTGAATGCTCTCAACATTGTGTTTATCTTAAAAGTGAGCATTCGGTTAGAGTTTTTGTTAGCTTAAAAAAGGGTTAGTTAGCTATAAATATTGTGGTTTGCTTCGGTTTATATTCTCACCCCTAGTTCATCGCCAGTATACAGCTTACTACAAACCTCCTCTTTGTGGATGTTCATCAAGAGAATTGTGTACCTGGTTTTTTGACACAGTTGTGGAGGCCCAGTGCTGGGGAGGCTGCCTTTCAACACTTTCATAGTTGACATAAGTAATTCTTCTGGGTTCTTCTTGTCTAATCACGATGTTTTGAGGAGGTAGCTCCCTTAAAACCCATAAAACGAAAGCCAATGGTACTGTGGAACCTGTTAAAAAGCGTTCTTATTTATCAGTAATACTACATTTTAAGTCTTAAGAACCACGAATGAAAGAAAAATCTTTCACCTATGAAATAGTATATAATCAGAAGAACCAATGCTTTGATGCCGTGTAATTTGCTCGGGTTCCAATGATAGAAGAGCTGAGGTCAGTAAGTATATTTTGGTTAAGCATATAGACAAATGTTAGGTTTTTGTTAACAGATATACTTTGAGGAATAATATCTTACCGGAATGTGTGTGAGAAGAGCAATTAAAGAGCTAATGGTAAAGCAAACAACTGAGACGCCAGCTAAACCCGATACCTAAAAATGGTTAAAATGCACTTTCAGTATAAGGATTAGACTAAAATGTTCAAGATTAAAAAAACGTCATGGGACAGTAAAAATCATTAGTTACCTTCCGCATCTCCGATGAAACTTGTTCAGACCGCACCTTCCTCAGATTAAAGAGCAGACGCAGGCCTAAAAAACAAGAAAGAACATAAAAGAGTTTGTATTAATGCTGTCTCATTGTGGAAAAATCAATTAAATAAACGATCATAGCAATAAGAAAACGCTACAAGAAAAATACAAGTAGCTGAAACCAGACAAAAAAAACAAACTGAAGCAATATATTACCATAGAAGCATATTCCTCCTCCGGTAACTAGGATTATTGCAGCAAAAATATCAACATAGACCTACACGAAGAAATTTATCAGAAAACCAGAAAAAATAATAGCCAGAGTCTTCTATTTCTTGAGGAGAAGAACTTTGATGATAAAGAGGAAAAATCACATACCTGAGCCAATAATGAAGCATTGATAGGATTCTTTCCGGAAGCAATCCAGATAAGGATTGCAAATGATATCATTAAGATAAACACAAGAAGAACCGCCTAACAAAAAGATAAACATTTTTGTAAAGATCACAGATATGAATTGGCTAGTGGTTAATGCATATACCGAAAGTATCACATACCGCAACAACAAACTTCTGGCGGGTGCCAACATGAATCCCATGGAAAGAGCAACACTTTCTACGCTCACTTGAATTCGAAGAACCTGGCTTGCTCTTACTTTTTTCAAGCAACACTTGCTGAATGCTATTTTCTTCATCATCATCGTCATCCTCCTCTCCATTTCCCTGATGGCAAACATCTACCCTATAACATTAAGAAGCATCATTTTCTTATCTCAGATCGTTATTCAGACAAAACAATCAGGTACAACACAATACAGTCAGGGTAATGAGAATATACTTACCAGAAAGAAAGAAGCAGGAGGAAAGTTGCCAGAAACAGAATTTTGGGAAAGGCTGCAAGAACAATTCAAGTTATCAAGGACTAACCTATAGGGGTAACTAAACATCAACAAACCTTAACAAGGGAATGGAATTTTTACCCATAAGTAGAAAACCTAATGCGTTGGACCAATGATGCCACCTTGTGCATGTTGCTATAATCGCAGCCACAAAATAAATGAGGGAACCTGCCAATGGATAACGAGTAGCGACCTTACTCATGAGATACAACTTTCCACACAAAAATCTCTGTTCCTAAATAACGAATGGTTCGAGTATCTACCTGTGTTTGAAGAGCCAATCATAAGATGAAGCACCTGCAATTTACATTGAAAGATATGTCAGAGACGCACCATGGAATTATATGTAAAAACTAACATAGAATCTGAACCTGGATTGATAAGAAACAGAAAGATGAGAAGACTTACTTTTTGCCGCGTCCATCCAACTTGTTTATTCCGCCGGTGAAATCGAGTTAACTGAAAGCAGGAGGCAGACAAGATAAATCTTATAAGCCCAACCCAACAAAACAAAAAAAAAAGAAGAGAATAAGACCTTTTTTTTGAAGTACTTCAATGTTTAAAACTACATAGGAGCCACCACGAATCTTAATCTACACTCTTGAAAAGAAAAGATTCTACTTTCTAGTGCTAAATTATATCGGATTCAGATTCCTTGAATCAAATCTCTCATTATACACAACAAACACACTTGAGCTCCGTAAGTTATCTATACAGTTGACCTGAAACTTATTGGTCAACCACATCAACAAGAGGCACACAGCTCTAAAGAGTAAAATCAGCCAATTCACTGAATTAAAAACCAAGAAACAAAAATAACCTCAAATCTCATCGAATCTTAAAAGATGAAATTGAGCACAATGCGTCATCTGTCCGAACAGACCTAACAGGCCTTCACACAATCTAGCATTCAGAAATCAAATCGTTCTTCATTTTGTTCTAAGAAAGCAACAAAAGCGAATCCTAAGAAATCGGAAACCTGAAGGAATGCGATGAACGCAAGTGCGGCATCGATAAAAGCCAGACAGAGATTGACAGCGATGAAACTTGGGGCATAGCACTTATCCTTGGTCGACTCCAAAAACGAAGCTACGATCGTCATGACGAATCCTCTCTTCTCTCTAGATCCCTCCCCAAAGATCGAATGCCGAGATTTTAGGTTTGTGGAGAGAGGATCAAAGAACACCACCGAGACAGATGGTTGTAGGAGATGGGTTGGGGTCTGGTCTGAGAAATAAAATATAGTATTAAAAAAAAAAGTTAATTTATTTATATATCATATTTTCTGGACAGCAATATAAAAACTATTAAATTTAATTGCTACAAGTGGTACGGCACACTTGATATACTAATTAATTACTGTCCGAAATAAAGTAATTTAGTTTTTCTTGGTGTTTAAAATAATTACTACAAGATTCACATATTATAAAGTTTACATACATGTTAAATTTTAATATTTTAATATAATAGTGTCATCGGTCTTAATTAATCTTTTGCTAAAATAATTTGTTGTTCATTTTAATTATCTGACAATATTACAAAAATATTCAGTTTTCCTTTTCGAGAAAAGAGTTATCAGTGGAAACTTTTTAATTTGAAAGCTCAATGGACCCTTTGGTTGAAGGGTTTTTGTATTATATAATCTTATTTATGATTAAATACTAAATTTTAAATTTAAATATTTTCAATTTTTTATTTAATTGAAGTTAGTTAATTGTGCTTTTGTGCAGAAGAAAAAAAAAAAGACATTCCCATCTTGTCAAGGTTGTAAGTTTGTAAACAATTTTTCCCTCAATTGATTCTCTTGAGCTAATCTATAGTTATTGTTGGAAAAAAAAACATATGGGTATATATGATCATAGACTTGAAAACTTAGGCAAAAAAAAAAAAGAAATTACGTTATAAAGTAATTAATAAGTAATTTATGATCATAGACTTACTAATTATTGTTTTGCATTTTATCGAAGCAGAGGTTCTAATTTCCAAAAAAAAAAAAATTGAAGTGAGTGAAGTAAAAAAATCATGTTAAGCTTGATTTGATTCTTCTTCGTTCACTGAGTTTTCTTCTCGAGTTCTCTTCCGTCTTCACCCAATTTCAAACCATTCTTCATCTTCGCCTCAATGTAAAAGACCTGGAGACACCTCCTTCTCCGCAACTCTCCTCACCGACATTTCACAAGTAGGTACACAATCCGATCCCTTTGGTATGGTTTGTGTTCCGGAATATCCTGAAACTTCTTTCTTTTCCAGTTTCTTTATGATTTAATTTTGGAGTTCTTTCAAACTCCCATTTAGGGATTACTATCGTCCTTTGACAATGGCAGAGATTACAAATTCACCATAGTGTACTGTAAGTCTGTAACTGGTTTTGTCCAACTCTTGCCTTAGAAGATGTTAGACTATATATTTAGTTGGAGGAAATACATATAGCAAGCGAAATGTAACTCACTTTATATTCAGAAAAGAAAGTTGAATAAGTACATTAGTTTAGTATATGATCTTTGTTTGTTCTACAGCAATACATGTTTAAAAGGAATATCCTAAAGAATGAATAAATCTAAAGGGAAAAAAAAAAAAAAAAAAAGAATCTGTTCTTATTGTTGTGTACAGTTGCTTTGATGGAGTTTAAATCTGTCTAATCGACAAGAAAGGTTTATATATCAGCACACTTTGTAGGTGCATACCCGAGCCTGGACCTCTTTGTATCGTAGAGTATATGAAAGTTCTGCTGCTGGTAGTTTCCTATGATTGAGAAGGCTGATTTGGGAGTTCCAAGAATTGCCAAGCAAACCAAATCTTCAGTCAACCATATGAAAGAATTCTCCGTCGGGAAATTCCAAACCGCGCCATCTGCAAAAGCAATCCCAAGCTCTGGCAGCTGAACGTTATCGATGCCAGACACGTTGAAGCAAGGATCTAGGATTGGAAAATCTCTGTACACCGGGTACTTCCCTTTTGCTTTCTCTGCAATCTTGTTCTTGATGAATTCATATGCAGGTTCTGCAAAGTAACTTAAGGTTGTGCCCGAATCGATGATCGTCCCTCCAGCGCCATCTGATGAGATATTCCATGTTTCTTCAGGTATGTTTAGAACTTCTCCAGCGACAAGAATGGATTTTATATGTACGTAGTAAAATGTGTCTACGAGGTTTTCTTTCCCGGCAACAAAAGAAGTGAAGTTCAGATTCGGATGGCTCAACAAATCCTTGTCTTCCCCAAAAATCAGTTTGCTACTAACGTTGGTATCGCTGTTTCTATCGACTAGGCAATAAGAGAAGGAATGACCATAAAGAGACTGAAGCTGAGAGGAAAACGAAAGCGGGCCTCTTCCTAATCCAAGCAAGCCTGCAGCACCATGGAAGAGACCTCGGTTCCAATGACCACAGCCGAACATCATGTTTTCCACATTATACAACTCCGAGCTTCCTCCACTTGTTGTCAGATTAACCGTGAAAGTCTCGAGAGCAAAGTCTCCAGTGGTGTTGGAGCTATCCCCATACCAGTAGTAGTAAGGACATGATTGGTTATCCGATTTGCAGGGCGTTGGAGAGTCAGGTGATGAGACTAGGTTGCATCTTGGGTCATTGCAAGTTATGTTCTTGTAAGAAGCAGAGGCTGTTGGGTCATAAAACGCACCGTTTTGCTGGAAACAGTCGTAGCAGGGCAAGCATTGAATCCAGTTCAGATCACTCCCTGTGTCAAGAATCAAGGAGAAGTGTTTTGGTGGCGAACCAACCAAGACGTCCATGAAGTACTCGCCGGAACCAAGAGTCATACCGGACTCAAGTGTAGCCACCAACTGACCAGATTGCTTCTCTTCCACCGGAGAAGAAGCCACCGGAGAGGTAACGACTTCTTTATTCTTCTTCTGCTTCTTGACAGTGTTTTGGTTCTTCTTCTCCAAAACCCTTTTGTGAAGCGTCTGGATTCTAGTGAGATCTCGGAAATTGAGCTCGAGAACAGAATTTGATGTCTTCTTCTCTGCTTCGTGCTGCGTTGTTGTTTCTCGGCGCTTCAAATGAAACTTGACCGTCTTGTTCTCTCCGGTCCGTTCCTTTGTGGGTTGGTTCTCAGGGGAAGAGAAGCCGCAGTCGTTGCTTGTGGAAGAAGAAACAGAACCGAAGCGCATCGGATTTGGGAAGTCAATCCCAGAAAAGCCCGAGATGTTTTTTTGCTGACTGTTTCCGGCGGCGAGTCCTCTTGAGTCGCCGGAAAATGCTTTGACGAAGAAAAAAATAAGACAAAGAATGAAACTATGTCTGGACAACATTTGGAGAGATAAACTGAGAACAAAAAAAAAGATTGTGAAATCGCCGGCGACGATCAAAGTTGGAGTCGCCGGGAAAGGAAACTGAGCTGAAAAATAAAAAGAGAAAGTGACAGAAGCAGAATTTATCCTTTAAGAGAGATTTTATTAGTTTCGTTTGTAAGGTCTTTTGATTCTGAAGCTTAGAGAGAAATAGGGAGAGAGGACGAAGAAGAAGAGTAGAGAGAGAGATCTGGTGAAGTTCAGATTACTGAAAAATAAAAATATTAATTGATATTTGTTGACTAAAGTCATCTTCTTCTTCACGCGTTTTCATATCTTCATTCCTTTTTACCGTTTCTTCTGTATTCTGTTATCATCGTATTTTTTTAAGTATATTTAAAAAGAGTGATGACAAAAAAAAAAAAAAAAAAAAGAGTATATAAAAGAGTACAAGAACATAAAGAGTTTGGTTAGCTGTAATTTAGATTGAATAAACAATAACAAAGGGAACACTAAAAAGGGAAATTATACTGAATAAACAATAACAAAGTGAACAACATTGTGACAATTTGATTAATGTAAATTTTGGTAATGTCAAAAAACCGAAAAATAAACATCTCTCGCGATTGAACGTATTAGTACTACAAAATGGTATTCAACATGAAATTCAGAATACCTTTGAATAAATTATATTCAGTTTTTGAGACTATTATGTAACTTTGAATTGTTGTGTCATCAAATGGTATGGTCAATAAGATTATTATACATACAAATGTAGTTGGTGTACCATTTGTAAGCAAACGTTATCAATTTGCCATAAATGTTTATCTATTTTTTTTGTCAACATTTAAAATCTCCAATAAACAAACAAAATTTAATCGAACGTAGTAAAAATGTGTGGAAAATATTTTTTCTTTAAAAAAATGTGACCACTATAATTTGTTATCATCAGTTAAATTTGATAACAATAAAAGAATTTGATTAAGAGACTATATTGATACTAAGACAAGACACCATTCAATAGTATATTTAATCAACTATTAAGACCAAATCAAATGGCTAACACTTAAGTGTCAATCAACCGATAAAGAAATGTGAGCAAAATAGCAGTTTGACCGCCAAACCAAACAATGAGAGCTTTAAAAGAAAAAGAAAAAAAAAAAAGTCATTTACCAATAATACTAATAAAAACCTATCGATCACCTTTTAAAGACGCATGCCAAAATAGCATAGCGACGAGACGACTCGTCACAATATATATAATACTTAGAAGATTCAACGAACGCATTTTTTTAATTGAAAATTTAAATAATTCCCACCATGCTTAAGTGTGTATTATTAACTAATTACTACAATAAAGCTGCTGAGTCGTTAATGTTGACCGGTTATAAACCATCCATACTTATTCAATTTGCCATCAATTTAGTAGTAATAAAGAAGAGATTTTTGTTATGTATTTGGCGATAAGGGAACGTCGGGTCCTTACGTTTTCTCTTAAAACTGTTTGACTACGACCTTACCAAATAAAATGTTTAGATTTATTTATAATTAGTGATTGTAACCTATATCTGAATGTATGAATCTTTTTAACATTAAAATCAACATCCTCTTAAAAACATACAAATGCTTGTTTTGTTGTCATCCCGAAAGCGTACAAAATTAGAAGTTGACCGGGGAAGAAAGGTTCAAAATACTTTTTCATGGCGACAGTACTATTCCAAGTAAACACAAAACAATAACAAAATGATTTGATTTTGACTTCCTTGTTGCGCAACGTGTTTCTAACCAATTTGTAGAGTTGAGCCAAAAACACTTTTGTACGTACTTGTATTTGTTGTAGTTCGGACCAAACACTTTGACTTTCGGTACGCATTAACAAGTCATATATACATTAACCGTGATTCAGTAAACTTGAATTTTGAATATTACAAATTAATTGAATAGGTAAATTTGATTTGGAGAGATTATAGTTTTTTCTTCTAACATAGAATATTATCTTTATCGTAGAGAAAAAAATATTTTTATATGTTAGAAAATCTCAGTTTTTTTTCAAGATATTTTTTAATCAATTATTTTAGAAAATACAAATGATGCGAGAAAACAAAATTAAAATACGAATAGTATTCCAAATAGTGTAGTTCATTAGATATTTTGAAAATTTCCTTTGATAATTTCTACTAAAAAAACTTTGAAAATATCAAAGAAAAGGTAAAAACAAAAGAGGAGGGTCTCCAATTCCAATTTTGAAAGAGATCGTATTAAATAAAGTAAAGATGTGAAATAAAGATATGGATGGATAATTCATAACAAACCAAGAAATAAAAAAAAAGGAAACAAGCTCATAAAAATATGGAAACATAGTCCTCCTTACAACAATAGAATTAGGAAGTGAATGTAACTCGCTATGTATAAATATTGCGGAAATACTCAGAGCTTGTAGCACTCAGAAATTCATAATCTCTCAGATTAAAAAAACCACAACCTTAACCATTATCATCATCATCATCATTATGTCTTTGATTTCAAGAGCCGCATTAGTCGTTTTGTGTTGCATGTTCATGTTGTTGATTCCATCTCTTACTACGGCAGCAACGGATCAAGGACTTCATGCAAGATGTGAATCTCACAGCTTCAGAAACGGAAAAATCTTCAGCTCTTGCACGGATCTTCCGGTGTTAGACTCGTTTCTACACTTCAGCTATGTTCGAGAAACCGGAGCTCTTGATGTTGCTTATCGTCACGCCAATCTAGAGTCATCTAGTTGGATCGCTTGGGCCATAAACCCGACCAAAAAAGGCATGTTAGGTGCTCAAGCTCTTGTGGCGTACCGTAACTCTACTTCTGGTTTTATGCGTGCGTATACTTCCTCCATTAGTGACTACTCTACTATGCTTCAAGAATCTCCTCTTAGCTTCCGCGTGACGCATGTATCTTCTGAATATATCGATGGAGAGATGACTATATATGCAACTTTATTCTTGCCTCTTAATACAACCGTTGTGAATCACTTATGGCAAGACGGCCCCTTGAAGGAAGGAGACAGACTTGGAATGCACGCAATGAGTGGAGATCATCTCAGAGCTATGGCTTCTTTGGATTTGCTTTCCGGACAAGTCACAGCGACAAAATCAGTTGAGGGAAACATGTTGTTGGTAAAGCAAATCCATGGAATTGTAAACACAGTGAGTTGGGGAATTCTCATGCCAATCGGAGTTTTGGCTGCAAGATACATGAAGACTTACGAAGTATTAGATCCCACATGGTTCTACATACACGTAGTTTGCCAAAGCACCGGTTATTTTGCTGGTTTAATTGGAGGATTAGGAACGGCAATCTACATGGCGAAACATACTGGGATGAGGACTACCATGCATACCGTCATAGGGTTGCTTCTATTTGTTTTAGGGTTCTTACAGATACTTGCGCTCCAAGCTAGACCAGACAAGGATCATAGGTACAGAAAATATTGGAACTGGTATCATCACACTGTGGGATACATAGTAATTGTGCTAAGCGTCTACAACATTTACAAAGGCTTGTCTATTTTACAACCTGGAAGCGGCTGGAAGATCGCCTATACGACTATCCTTTGTGCAATTGCAGCACTTGCGATTGTAATGGAGATTTTGCAGTTCGAAAAGAGATGGGGTAGCTTGTTTCGCAAGAAAACTAAAGATCTAGAAGCCGATCCAACTACTTCAGTTGGTGTGGTATAGTTTTTACTTTCTTTTTAGGATGCATTAAGTTTCTCTTTAGTTATTCGTCTACCTCTTCTGTACAATTCTAAGATTGTTAGTCATTCTTCGGTTTTACTTTTACTTGTAGAAGATTAATTACTTTGATTAATAAAAGTTCTTCTATTCATTTATATAACTCAACAAAATTTTGTATATTTTGCTTTTCAACTTTTAATTTCCTTTAGCCTCTTAACTGTTTGATTGGAGTTAGTAATGGAATAAGTTTGTGAGCTGGTAACTTTCAAAGCCATATGTAGATACACAAAAGTTTAAAGCATATATGAGAAAAAAGATTGGGAAGTTGAAGGAGAAAAGTTTAATAAACGTCACAAGATCCTGATTAAAATCTTGGGATGTGGATTCTTTAGACCTTAGGCTCTGGACCAACGCTGTCTGGTTAAAATATGCAGTCACAATACATGCATTCAATTTCTTTTGATCTCACATCAGGACAGGTGAATGTCCCTGACTCTTTGTTGTCTTTGCTACTCACAACCTAAACTTGCATTTTGCTGATTGGCAGGTCCCTTATTTTATGAGTAATGACTAAAACACCTTGATCATATTATTGTTGCTTACATCTCCCGTAAGAGTTGCCAAGGATTGATATTTCGATGGTTCATCCATGCCTAGCTTAGAGCTTTAAGTTATTGCCCTTTTTTCAGCTTCTACATAGATTTTGAAAAGTATCAATCAATTGGGCATCTTTAGCTAAAGGTTCAAAGGCAATGTAATCTAACCAATGGTCCTTAAAACATAGCATTTGATCTTTGCGAATCTTTTAACTTTGGTACTTTCCAAACAAACACAAAACAAAGGAAATTCTTGAATGTATTTCCTTAGCAGGAGATAATTAAAAACTGAGGATAAATATTTTGAAACCTTTTTGCTCGACGAACATTTGAAAATTCTTCTCCACAAAAAGTTAAATTTTGAAAAATTATGTCTGGACCTTCAGAACTGTAATAATCATCACAAGGTCGGCGGCGGGGCAGATCGGAGAGAAGGATAAGGCGGTGGAAAAAGCGAGCGGCGGATATGAAATTCAGATTGAAAACTATAAAATAACGAAGAACATCATATATTCCCCTCAGGTTGATTTGTTTCTTATCCACATACTTCTCCGCCGCTTCGAGCCTTCCAATCCACTATACCCTCCGCCGCAGAATCGCCTTCCTGCACCGCCGCCTTAACGTTTCAGAACGGTCTGTATCTTATATAGTTAGGGTTTTGTTTTTGCTCGGCCCTTTTTGAATAGATTGGGCTGCGCGAATAGGCCCAATAAAACATATGGAGAGACCACGATACAAATACTATTATGAATTATTATAATTTGGGCCTTCTCTGACAAATACCATGGCATTTTCCCCCGAGGCTTTATTTAAATTAATGTAATGTTATAAATATCAAAATATCACATAATGTATAAATCATAAATATTTTAACATATGGTTCCTTGTTATATTGACGAAATAAATAGTTTGTTCTGTATTTTTACGTCAAATCAAATTGTTGGCGTCTTATTTCCCCGAAATCTAATGTCTCAATAATAATAATAGCTTTCATTCATTCATAGTTTTATAGTTAGGAGATGGAATTAATAATCCAAACGCGGCGAAGACTTATGCCGACATGAGTTATTGACCAAAGACAATATAACTCCGAATACAACGACACAATTTGCAAAACTGTAATTAGACAAAAACAATAGGTAGTGTAAACGTGTTCATCTTTGCTTGATTCGGATAACTACGTTTTATATACATCGTCCACGACGAAAAGTTCTGTCTATCAGTGTTAGTTCATCCAACTCGCAACTTGCATTCGAAATAAAGGTTTAAGTCTACCAAGTGTTCTTATTCAGCAATTTCCACTAAACAAATCATATTTTAAATATATCATATGTTTGCAAAAGATACTGTACTGCTACTACATATATATATGGCTGGAAACAAAACTTATATAGTTACTTGGTTTATGGCTTTCGGTAGCTTTGAATGGACGCTATATAACGAACTCGTCTCTTTCGTGGGAAAAAGAAAAAAAAAAAGAAAAGCAAATGAGGGACATAAACTTTTAAGGAAAATGTCTTCTTTCGGTGGTGGATGCTTTGTTCACAATGCGCCCACTATACATGTCTCTACCTACTACTTGTAAGTTGCAACTGCAAACCATTTTCAAGTATTTATCAATAATACGTTGTTGTTCATCCTTTGAGATCGGTAGGGTTTACGCACGTTAAACGATAAGATTGATGTGATAAGTGTTTAAAACTGCTGTAATAATAATAAAAAAATGTGATAAGGATTCGGAAATTCATGTAATTAAGCATCATTTTTGGTGGACCATTGTCTGTGGTCCAATGTCCATGACAACGAGTCACGTTGGTCCGTGGATTAGCATTACGACATATGGTATTGCGATTGCATATTCACGTTTAAAACTGAGATTACTATCCAAATTTTTGTGATTGTAGTTTGTTTTAGTGTTCTCTAGTGTAACCATTACAAATTCCAAACTCATAAAGTCGACTAAAGAATCGTATTTGTAAACGCAATCATTTGCGATCGTAGCTAGTAGCTATACAAGTCAACATGTGAAATAAATGGGATCTGGAAATATGAAGGGGGTAGGGGGAAAAATGATGATTCCTCGAGATAATTTTTCCGGAAGGTTTTTGAATGAGACTCACTGGCAACGAATTCAGATATAAGTACTATATAAACTCTTTCTGAATATGTATTCATATACATACAAGTATACAGTAGATGCATGATAAACTCATAAAAGCATCGTAGAAGACAGAGATACTATACGATTTGAAAGAAACATATGAGAGGAGGAGAGGAGGAGAGGAGGAGAGGGCGTGTGTGATATGACAAAAAACACCCTTAATGATTGGTCAAGAAGACTCTTCCCCCTTCAAAGAAGAGAGTGCTGCAGATAAGGTACAGATCAGAAACCACCTCTAGAAATCGAGCAATAGATCTCTCTTCTCTCTCACTCTCTCTCTCTCTCTCTCTCTCTCTCTATCACACCCTTCATCACAAGACAAGATGGTGGGTCCAAAACTAACTCTTCAACTAGTTGTCTGACAATTCGACACGTGTCGTTCATCCTGATCTTGTTTCAGTACTATTGCCCCCACCGAATCATTATCTCCTCTCGCTCCTCCTCCTCCTCCTCTGTCTGTGTGTTAATCTCCCTCTCTAGGCTCTTGTCGCTTTCTGTCTGAACCTGGCAAGAACCTTTAGCCTCTCTCTCTCTCTCTCTCTCTCTTTGTGTTCTCTGTTCTGTTTCAACTTTCTTCTCTCAGTTTCTGTACAATTTCCTCTTTATCTATAGAGAGAAAAATCAAAACACTCTTCTTGTGTAAGGAGAGAGAGAGAGAAAATATTTTTTCTTCTTCTTTCCCCTTTCTTTTTCCTCTCCCTAGCTGCTAGAGCTCTCGGTTTTGTTACGTGTGAAGAAGCTGCTAATATCTTCTTTTCATTCAGAGGCTTCTAAATCTGGTAATTGCTTTTGGGTCTTTTCGTTTGAAGAGTTTACTATATATAGAATAGTTGCCTTATTAAATCATTCCCCTCCTTGATTGCTGGAGAGTGGTTTGGTTGTTTGGCTTAATTATTTTTCTAATGATTATTAAACTGTTGGGATTTCTTTCCATATGTGTTGTTGATTGCTTTCAGTCATCCTTTTTTCTTTTGATCCTGTTAATCATTATAGTACTAATTATATTATATCAAATCATTTCTTTATTCACTTAACAAACAAAAAAAGTAATATATTCTTATTTGGGGTGTCTTTTACAGATCTCTAACATGGAACAAGTGTTTGCTGATTGGAACTTTGAAGATAATTTTCACATGTCCACTAATAAAAGATCAATCAGGTATAATATAAAATATTCCCAAGTCTTATAATGACCAATTTCACTTCTTAATCATAATCACTTAAGTTTGTGTTTGTTCTTTGGGATAGACCAGAAGATGAACTAGTGGAACTATTGTGGCGAGATGGTCAAGTGGTTTTGCAAAGCCAAGCTCGTAGAGAACCATCAGTCCAAGTCCAAAACCACAAACAAGCCCTAAGAAAACCTCACAACATTTTTCTTGACAACCAAGAAACAGTACAAAAGCCTAACAACGCTCTTCTCGATGATCAAGAAACCGTCTCCTGGATCCAATACCCTCCCGATGACGTCGTTGATCCCTTCGAATCTGAGTTCTCCTCTCATCTCTTCTCTTCGATCAATCACCTCGACGGTCCAGAGAAGCCACGGTCGATCGAAGAGACCGTTAAGAGCGAGGCTCAAGCCATGGCTCCTCCTAAGTTTAGGTCCTCCGTTATAACCGTCGGGCCTAGCCATTGCGGGAGCAACCAGTCCACGAATGATCATCAGGTGAACACACTTCCGGTATCTATGACTGATAGAAGCAAGAACGTCGAAGAAAGACTTGATACTTCGTCAGGCGGCTCGTCCGGTTGCAGCTACGGAAGGAACAACAAAGAAACCGTTAGTGGAAGAAGCGTAACCATTGACCGTAAAAGAAAACATGTAATGGACGCGGATCAGGAATCTGTGTCTCAATCAGATGTTCGTTTGACCTCAACTGATGATCATCAAGTCACAGGAAACAAATCGAGCCAACGGTCTGGATCTACACGAAGAAGCCGTGCAGCCGAAGTTCATAATCTCTCAGAAAGGGTATGTATATGTACATTGATCAACATATTGTCGTAGTTTTATATTTTCATATCATGTTATTGTGTATTTTAGGCACCAGTTCTGTTTTTAAAAATTCTGCTATATTCTGTGATCTTCCTTTATTATAGAGGAGGAGAGATCGAATAAACGAAAGAATGAAAGCTCTTCAAGAACTCATACCTCATTGCAGTAAAGTAAGTTGACAAAAAAAAAAAAAAAAAAAAAGACTCACAGATATAATGGTAATGATGGAGCTTATATATTGATTAATGGTGTGTGTGTATGTGTAGACAGATAAAGCTTCGATATTGGATGAAGCAATTGACTACTTGAAATCACTTCAAATGCAACTTCAAGTGATGTGGATGGGAAGTGGAATGGCGGCGGCGGCGGCAGCAGCAGCAACGACTCCGATGATGTTCCCGGGCGTACAACCATCTCCGTATATGAATCAGATGGCTATGCAGAGTCAGATGCAAATGCCTCAATTCCCGGTTATGAACCGGTCAGCTCCGCAGAACCATCCCGGTTTAGTGTGTCAAAACCCGGTTCAATTACAGCTCCAAGCACAGAACCAAATGTTATCGGATCAGCTAGCTAGGTACATGGGCGGGTTCCCCCAGATGCCGTCGGCGGCGAATCAGGTCAGCTGCAATTAGCAAACGGCACCGTTTTGGAGAGAGCGAGAAATATTTAATTTAATTAATATCTGACGTGTCATGTTTAAAAATTAAATGCAGGCAGTGCAACAGCCAACAACGGACATGATGAAATTTGGGTCTCCGGCGGGACCGCAAAGTCAACTGTCGGCACCGGCTACCACCGACAGTCTTCGTATGGGGTAAATAGGCTGACGTGGCGTATAGTATTATTTTCTCCGATATTTATAATTTTATTTTTTGGTCGGGATGAAAGCTTAAAACAAATGTATTATATAGAACTTAATAAGGTTAGTGTCAATACTTTTATACTTCTAAATTTATTTGATTGAGGACAGGCATACATATATTTTTTGCAATCAACATACATATTTAACTGATCATGACGTAATTAATCAGATTAAATATGTTTTTGAAGAGCTTCAAAAAGTAAAGTAAACACAGAGTAAAAGGCTTATGTGGGCCTGAATTGACATTCCGATGGGCTTTTTTTATTGTCTGGGCACATTTAGTCCTAATGTTTTAATGCTCATCAAACGTATACGCGAAAATCTTTTAGAGAAAAACGGAAAACGCTAACGTGGTTTATTAAATTACGATTCGTTCGTAACGGAACGAGTCCCACACACCTACCACTACGACTCCATTAGGACGGTGTAAACAAATTACCGATTATGTCCTTTAGTAATGACACGTGGCTTATAGGAAGGGCGAGTTCTTGTTAATGTGATGTCCAAGCGCGTAGGTTTCTAGTTTTTTTGTTCCAAAAGCAAAGTAGAAAACAAAAGCGTATATATGTTAACTAATCAAAATCGTACATGTCAGCAGTCTCAGACCAACACCGATTTATTTTATATTGACAGAAAAAGCTGCGACTCCTTGGCCTCTCTTTCTCGATCGCTCTTTGATATTTTGTTTTTGTTTTTTGTTTTGGGATTTTGCCTCATTGTTTGGGGGGAACTCGAATCTGATCTAAACTTTGCAGAAATCGTGAGATAAAGGGGAGAAATCGCATGAAATTGTATAGGAAACTGGGTTTTACATCTCCGATTTCAAATTACTTGAGTGATAATCGGTGTCTTCTGATCTCAATTCTTAGTTTTTCTCCTCACTTGCCGATTTCGCTCTTTCTTTTCGAGCAGAAATCGTTAGATCCTTTATCGCTCAATAACAATAATAATAATAATAATAATAGTATTAGAATTGAGAGCCCATCATTGTTGAATCATGGAGTCCGGAGCCAAAACTAATCGTCAGCTGCGTAAAGGTATTACCTTTTCCTTTCTTATGATTGCTTCGTTTTTTTTTTGTTTTGGCAAATTTGTGTGAGAATGAGATTTTAGATTTTTAATTCTATTGCAAGTATTATTTCATCTGTTTTTTAAGTCTTAAAAGGCTCTGAACTGTTTCATATGTTGTTTTGTGTTCCAGCTATTTGCGTCTCAACCGAAGAGAAGATGAAGAAGAGCTCACCTTCAGTAATAGTGATTGGTGGTGGTATGGCTGGGATTTCAGCTGCTCGCACTCTTCAAGATGCTTCCTTTCAGGTCTGTATGCAGTCTTCAGGTTACAATGTTGTGAAATAATTTGTGCTCTTGTTGTACCAACTACCAAGTGCAGGGTCTTATATTATTCCTTTTTTCAGGTTGTGCTTTTGGAGTCTCGTGACAGAATTGGTGGACGTGTTCATACTGATTACTCATTCGGTTTTCCTGTTGATCTGGGTGCATCTTGGTAAATTCATGGCTCCACTTAACCTTGATTGATTCATGTTTGGATCTTTTTCCATCAATGCTATCTAAGCAACATCGTTTTCTGACAGGTTGCATGGTGTCTGTAAAGAAAATCCTTTGGCTGCAGTAATTGGGAGATTAGGACTACCCCTTTATCGTACTAGTGGTGACAACTCAGTTTTGTATGATCACGATCTTGAAAGGTGTGTACAACAGTTTTGGATATTCTGATTGTACATCTTAATATATCTTCTCTCTTGTTTAAACTCATGGTGCAATTCTGTTTTCTGCAGCTATGCTCTATTCGACAAGGCTGGTAACCAAGTCCCTCAAGAATTGGTAACAAAAGTTGGCGAAAATTTTGAGCACATTCTGGAAGAGGTGTTAACTTGGTGTTTAGTTTTTCTTTTCTTGTGTTTTCCAGTTGTTGCGTATCTTTGATTAACTAGATAGTTGTTCCACAAATGCAGATATGTAAAGTCAGGGATGAGAAAGATGAAGACATGTCAATAGCTCAAGCCTTTTCTATTGTATTCAAGAGGAACCCTGAATTAAGGTATGCATACGCAGTGTCTCTACTCAATCCTTTGATTTTGTTTTTATACGCTTATATATTTGTTGCATGCTCAGTAAGATTTTTCGCTTCCAGGTTGGAGGGGATTGCCCATAATGTGCTTCAGTGGTACTTGTGCCGCATGGAAGGATGGTTTGCTGCTGATGCTGAAACCATCTCAGCAAAGTGTTGGGACCAGGTTAATAACCAAATTGCTATATGTTCTCGGTTCAGTGGTTGACGTATGTTCTGGTTTCGTGATTTGTCAATAAAAACATTCGCAGGAAGAACTGTTGCCCGGTGGACATGGTCTTATGGTTAGAGGGTATCGCCCTGTTATCAACACTCTCTCGAAAGGTCTTGATATACGATTAAGCCACAGGTAAACTTTGTTCGTCATATGTTTTTGTACCCTTTTTTTTCTAATCCGCAGCTGAAACTTATTGGCCTTATGTTTGATCAGGGTTACCAACATTACAAGACGCCACAGTGGAGTGAAGGTAACTACAGAGAAAGGAGACACCTTTGTTGCGGATGCTGCAGTCATTGCTCTTCCTCTCGGAGTCCTAAAGTCAGGAATGATAACATTCGAACCAAAGCTTCCACAGTGGAAACAAGAAGCTATCAATGATCTCGGTGTAGGAATCGAGAACAAGATCATATTGCACTTTGACAATGTCTTTTGGCCTAACGTAGAGTTTCTGGGAGTGGTTGCAGAAACTTCGTACGGATGCAGTTATTTCTTGAACCTGCATAAAGCCACTAGCCATCCTGTCCTTGTTTACATGCCAGCTGGTCAGCTTGCTAGAGATATCGAGAAAAAGTCTGATGAATCAGCTGCAAATTTTGCCTTTTTGCAACTCCAGAAAATTCTTCCAGATGCATCTTCACCGGTACTCCTCTAATCAGTCTTTCTTATAACTACGTCTCTATATCTTTTGCCAATGTACAAGCTTTAATGGTTATTTATGTTGGCAGATACATTATTTGGTATCAAGGTGGGGATCAGACATAAATTCATTAGGATCATATAGCTATGACATGGTGAACAAACCTCACGACCTCTATGAGAGGCTGAGAGTGCCATTGGATAATTTATTCTTTGCTGGGGAAGCCACTAGTTCGAGCTACCCGGGATCAGTGCACGGTGCTTATTCAACCGGATTGCTGGCCGCTGAAGACTGCAGGATGCGTGTGCTAGAGCGCTATGGAGAGCTTGAGCATGAGATTGAAGAGGAAGCTCCTGCCTCAGTCCCTCTTCTGATCTCCCGTATGTAGTTTAAACCAGAGGTTTAGTTTGTAGTTTCCATATGAAAACATTGTTAGAATGGATTTGATTATTATGATTTCATGTGATATAACTTCAAAAATAAAGCTTATGAGACTTCACTAGTTCTACCTCTTGAACATATTAATATCACTCTTTTTACATAAAAACCTGATTCAGATGATCCAAGACAACTGTGTAATCCATCTGACCCAAGAACTAAACCAAGCGCAAACTTCAACTAAGGGTTTATTTTTCTTGCAACTAAAATCACACCACCAAATTTCATTTTGCAGACCCTTTTTTCCTCAATTTCTTAAAAGGGCCACGAATACTAATGACAAAATTCAAACTTTTACGAATCTTTCTTTCCAACTTTACATAATACACTCATCACATAACCTTACAAGTTACATGTGCTGATAAGGGTAATATCGTCAATTACCCCATGAACCCCCGCCTCCATTTTTGGGGTGGTCTTCCGATTGAAATTATACTTTTGAGTAAAAAAGTTAATTAATGCTCCTGAAACAATAATAAAAAATAAATAAATATCCACTTTGAAGTTTTAACTTTTTAAAGATAAGAGAAGAGTAGCTTTCTTCTTCTTCTCCTTTGCTTGCTGCGACAGAGGAGAAGCTGCGAACTTTTATAAATGTCACAGACTGTAATTTTCAAGCCGTTTGTCTCAGTTCCATCAAGTAATCACAGGTTTCCTTTTCTCTTTCCTATTCACTTCTTTACTAGTTTCTCATTTTGGGGTCTTAGAGTTTCCTTTTTACTAGAAATTTTCTTTCGTTTCCACTGACGGGTTGGGATAATTCTGTGACAAAAGAGACCGCCTTTTCCTAATTTCTGCGAAAAATCCATGGTGGGTTTTGTTGAGTTCAATCGATTGTGTAAGATTTAAGCTGTGTGGCCGTGTGGGATTATTATCTGAGGACTGAGGGTAGTGACTGTTAGGGTTTATGTTCTTTTCTTTTAAGCTATTAAAAGTTTTGTTTTGTTTTTGTATTTAAGAATTCGTCTCTTTGTGTATCAGTCAGAGGAAACTACAGAACAATATAATCAATGTTGGTGTTAAAATCCAAAATCGGTTCAGAGTTGTTTGTATGGGAATGCTGGCTCCAAGGAAATTCCTGCAAAAGCGGAGGAAAATGGAGGTTTTTAAGGATGCAGCTGACGAGACGGATCAGAAGAGATGGAGAGGGCTAATGTTAGAGATTGAATCGACGGGGTCTGCTGTTCCCGTGCTTAGGCAATACAGAACTGACGGTGACCAAGGTCTTCCCAGGGATCTTGTTTTGGGTACTTTGGTTAGATTTAAGCAGCTTAAGAAATGGAACCTTGTCAGTGAGGTATGCACAATGACTGACTCCCTTAAATCTTAAATCTTTATAGATAATATATTAGATGAGTCATCTTTAGTCTAGTGTTGGGGATTTCAATATTGATGCTGCCAAAAGATATGTTTGTTGTCATTTATACCTGAAGAATTACTCTTATGTTATGAAGAATTACTCTCAGCAATGTTTGACTGTTGACTTTTGCGAGCTCTTAGTTTTACCTTTTCAATAGTTGTTGGTTGTGTCTGATATATGGTTACTTCCTTTCTATGTAATCCAGATTCTTGAATGGCTTAGATACCAGAACTGGTGGAACTTCAGTGAAATGGATTTTTTGATGCTCATTACAGCTTATGGGAAACTAGGAAACTTCAACGGAGCTGAAAGGGTTTTGAGCGTACTGAGTAAGATGGGCTCGAGTCCAAATGTAATTTCTTATACCGCTCTCATGGAATCTTATGGGAGGGGAGGCAAATGCAATAATGCTGAAGCGATATTTCGAAGGATGCAGACTTCAGGCCCAGAGCCTTCTGCTGTAACTTATCAGATTATACTTAAGACTTTTGTAGAGGGGAACAAATTTAAAGAAGCTGAGGAGGTCTTTGAGACTCTTTTAGATGAGAAGAAATCACCATTGAAGCCGGATCAAAAGATGTATCACATGATGATATACATGTACAAGAAGGCTGGAAACTATGATAAGGCTCGAAAAGTATTTGCTTCAATGTCTGGGAAAGGAGTTCCCCAGTCTACCGTCACTTACAATAGCCTGATGTCTTTCGAAACTAATTATAAAGAAGTTTCTAAGATCTATGACCAGGTGATCTGAATGCTCTCTTCTTTTAAATAATTAGTATACACTAGAAAAACCATTGAGGTGTATGCCTTGGCCTGTAATAGTTGTGATCTAACTCTTTTAGCTGAATGTTCACTTTTTCAGATGCAAAGATCTGATGTTCAACCCGACGTTGTAAGTTATGCTTTACTTATCAAAGCATATGGGAGAGCCAGAAGAGAGGAAGAAGCACTATCTGTTTTTGAAGAGATGCTTGATGCTGGTGTAAGGTCAGTTTTTTGGATGTGGCTTCCTACAACCATTTATAATTATTAATTTTTTCTCGTTTCGGATATATTATAAACCTCGGTTTCGGATATATTATTTTTATTTTCTCGTTTTTTCAGGCCGACACATAAAGCTTATAATATTTTGCTTGATGCATTTGCTATTTCCGGGATGGTGGAGCAAGCAAAGACTGTCTTTAAGAGCATGCGGCGGGACAGGTAAAGAATGCTTTGATTAATTTTGCTTGTTTTAGATTGATAGGCAATTAACATGTTTCCCTCGCAGAATTTTCCCGGATCTCTGGTCTTACACAACTATGTTATCAGCGTATGTGAATGCCTCTGACATGGAGGGTGCTGAGAAATTCTTCAAGAGGATAAAAGTAGACGGTTTTGAACCGAATGTAGTCACCTACGGGACAATGATAAAAGGGTATGCAAAAGTGAATGATGTTGAGAAGATGATGGAGGTATATGAGAAAATGAGGTTAAGTGGCATCAAAGCAAATCAAACCATTTTAACAACTATCATGGATGCATCTGGGAGGTGTAAGGATTTCGGGAGCGCTCTTGATTGGTATAAAGAGATGGAAAGTTGTGGGGTACCACCTGATCAGAAAGCTAAGAATGTGCTTTTATCGTTAGCGTCAACTCAAGATGAGCTGGAGGAAGCTAAGGAACTTACTGGTCTCAGAAATGAGACAACAACCATTATTGCTAGAGTTTATGGATCTGATGATGATGAAGAGGAGGAAGATATAAGTAGTGAATCTAGTGATGATGAGGATGAGGATGAGGATGAGGATGAAGGAGATGATGATGATGCAAGAGAAACTGTGTTGTGTGATAAAGCAGAAGAAGGGTCTTTGGGTTATGGTAGCTTACAGACGGAAGAACTTGTAGGGTTATGAAAACTACAGAAAGATTAAATTTTGTAATCATCTAAGGCCACAAGATAAGATTTTGCAGAAGAGGACTAAGTAGTTCATCCGTTATTTTTGTCTGTAGTTAAAGAAATGATATATGTTTCTGAATCCCCAAATAACTTAAGAATCAAAGGGTTACTTATTTCATATTATATCTCTTGCTAGTTGCCACCAAAAGAGCACGCAAAAAACAGAGTCTCTGCTTGCTGTTATCTTAAGCTCCTTCATTAGCCATCTCTTGATTCTCAGTTGCCGAAGTCTTTACCCTATGAGCTGCATTTTCCACCTACAAAAGATGCAGGGTAAAGGTAAGAACTTTGGACTACACTGGAGAGAGTGAGAGGGTCGTCACTGTTTTACCTCGGAAGTCCAGTTAGTTCTAAGCGTAAGAACAATCAAAGTTAGAGTTTGAAGTATGACTCCTGCAATCATTCCCCACCAGATCCCCTGTAAAGAAAAGTCTCCCAAATCTTAGAAAACAATATATGTAAGTACATAGGAAGTGAGAGAAAGAGAAGAAAAGAGAGATTATACAGCAACTCCCAAACTGGTTTTGAAGCCAAGAACACAGCCAATAGGGAGACCAATGACATAGTAAGTAACAAGATTCACATAAGCCACCACTGCTTGCCACCCACTTCCAATAGCGACCCCTTTTTTTTACCGATTCAACAAACAAAAAATCAATCCACAAATACCAAAGATCAAACAAGCAATTCACAAAAGAGGTCTCTTTTGTGTGTGTGTTTTACCAGAGAGAATTGGTTGGATCCCGTTTAAGAAAATGGATACGGCTAGGAGTGGAAAGAGGTCAGAGACGGCTGCTATAACCTCTGCGTCGCTGGTAAAGGCTTTGCTAAGGCCGACGCGGAACACAAGCACAATGACACAGAGAACTATGCTGATGAGAACAGTCGTGACGTTGACCACCACCACTGATAACTTAGCCACTCGTGGATTTCCCGCTCCTAGCTCGTTGCTCACTCGGACACTGCTCAAGAGCACAAAATGTTAAATTGGAACTGCGTGTCATTCTGTATTTTGTTGACTGAAGCATACCTGATTGCTGCACTTAGACCAAGCATGAACTGCATATCCCAGTTCAAGTAATACATGCTAGACAAAAAAAAAGGGACTAAAGCGGATCAAGATATGACTCGGATTGACTGGTATTTGATTCCACTGGGAAAAATACCATATCGAAATCGCGTCTAGAGCAATTGTTGGATTGGTGAGTAAACCGGAGATAATCACTAGCCCTTGGTTGTACCATATCTCCAAACTGCAGATTTTTCCATATAAAATTTGGTATTAGCTTTCTTTCAAATAGAGACTTAACAGGTCAGATCAAACAGCTTTCTGGTTACCATAGCATGACTGCTGAAGCTATCGTGAGCTTGAAGTAAGGCCATATCCCTCTAAAAGCCCTACTTGAAAACCCGGTCCAAGTCTCCTTACAACTCGGGCTTATTAGGATATACAGAGCGTTCAATGCCGCGAGAAGCCACCATGAGAAACTCAGAACCAGAGCCGCCCCAAGCAAGCCGAAATCCAGCACATTGGTGGCCAGCCACGTGAGTAACGTGTGGAGTAAGAAAACTCCTAAGGACATGTAAGCCAAAGGGTTCACTATGTTCTGAGCCTGGAGAAATCTCTGCATCGGGCAAGCGAGTGCAAAAGCGTAAATCTGGGGAATCATCCCGCGCGCAAAGACCTGACCCTCCTGCGCGATGGCTGCAGATTGTCCTATCGCTTTTAGGATTGGACCCGAGTACCAGTAGAGGAACGTGAGGAGGAATGCCGCTGCAAGGTGCAAGACCATGGCTCGTTGGCAGATGATTCCCATTGAGGAGTACTGTCTCGCTCCGTACGCTTGACCACACACTGTCTGTACCGCGCTTGCCATTCCCAACTAGTCAATTTTGGTTAACAGAATGTTTAGAATTTGAAAATGTTCAATACAGATAACCTGAATCAAAATTACATGAAAACCAATAAATTTTTACTTTACAAAACGGTAGCAAAACTATTATATAGTATTACGCATCGTACTAAGTCGGCCTCTGTTCTTTACTCTGTTTTAAACTTTGTGTTCTTTGCTCTGTTTTTACTACGGTTTAAACCGTGTGTGAGTTAATACCGACTGGAATATTTATGATTACCATGATACCGTAAGCGAGGCCTTGTATGCCGACGGTGGCGATGGAAGCACCGGCGAGCTCAAGAGAACCGAGATGGCCAGTGAACATGACGGTGACGAAGCTGAGCATGTAATTCAGCACAGAGACGACAATAGAGGCTCCAGATAGCGTCCATAGAATCTTCGACTCCCACACGGCTAGCCTAAGCCACCAGCGTGGCGTCACGGTGGATCCACGAAGACGGAGAAACTCCTCTATCTCCGGCGAAGACCGTTCAGAAATCTGAGAATCTGAGTGGAGCCGTCTCAATAGCGGTTCGTATGATGTCTCCGTGGAGCTCATGGTTCGTTTATCAGAACGTCTTTTTGTCTTTCTTTCTTTCTCGTGCTGTTGTTTTTGTTATTTAACGGGACGTCTTTGTATTACGACTGTCTGTTTATGGCTATTGTTTGATGCTTCGAGGGTCGTTGGCCATAGATGAATCGATGGTTTTGATCCCCCTTATGACTGTTCGGTCTGAATTTGAGTTCATAGTGCAACAACCATTTTTTCTAACCAAAACAAGATAAGAACGTAACAACCAGTCTCTAGTTATCGTACGTTATAGGAGTAGAGATTTTACCGATCAATTATTTTCTTGTATATTTGAAATTTATCTGTTCGTGAAACACATTAGCTAACTTTGTAGACAAAATGAAAAAGAAAGAAAGATAAACATCTAATATGAGAGCTGAAAAAAGAAAGAAGAAGATGCGAACATCCGAAACTAAATCAAGATAGAACCGAAATTAAGCCATACTTTTCTCTTAATTAAGTGAGTGGCGGGCGGCTATACAAGTATTCTTAGTGTACATGAAACGGAATTAATTAAAATTAACTACACCGGTTTGATAATGGTTTAAGAGTGATGTTTTGATAATTAAGATAAGAGCAACATAGGAGTACGACAGTAGAACCGGTGGGTGGAAAAAAGATGTAATTCATAGTAACAGTACCAAATGTTCTCTCTAATAAATGTGTGAAAAGAGCCAACGGCTAGTCTCGACATTGTACATACACATCCAAATAAAAGTGGGGGTAGAAATATTTGTTTTTGCACGTAGATAATAATTGAAGAATGATCAAATAACATTTTTGCATAATGTAAATTCACATGCTAACTATTGTAATTTCAGTTCTTTTTCCTACCCAATTAACAGAGGGATACCCAAATAATGATAACGAGCTTTTGAGAGCTGTCAACTACACACAAAAAGGGGAAACAAAAAAAAGAGAGAAAAGAAAAAGCTTTTGGGAAATTGTGGCCCACTAAATAATACTCAGGCCCATGTATATCCCGCGCTGCTCTTGAAGCCCAATTTATAGCCAACCAAATAAATCAGAAGGAAAAAAAAAAATTGCTTCTTCTTTTTTTTTTTGGGTGTGATCTAAGAAAATAAATTGTTATAATTCTAAAAAAATGAAGAGAAGGAAAATAATTCGCATTTGAATGAACTGGCCCTGACGTAAGATTAAAATCAATGAGTTATCTATTAGGTACGGATGGCTCCACTCTAAATTCAGAAGTTTACTCATCATTATATATATAAAAGTGTTTTTTATTCGCTAATAATTTTTTTTTTATATATGAAGACTTTCCCCACCATATCAAAATAATTTATTACAATATACGTACTCATTATTTTTTTATTTGTTAACATTCATGTATAGAAGAAGTGTTGTTTTGCTATAATTAATATCATCCGATATTGTAAGATCTATTTCTTTTAATTCATGAAAATAAAAAAATTAAATAGAATTATCAATGAAAGAAAGAATCAGATTAGATACTAAAAACTAGTGAATGAAATGAAAACCAAACTCATTCTATTTAGTATCTACTTTAATTGAAATATTTTTGTCCTCTTATAACATTAGTTGTCCATATTAAATCATTAATTAACCCATACAAATAGAATCCTATTATAACGGACATAGTAAATAGATAAAAATAAAAGTGGTCCAGCGACCGTGTAAACTAGTAAGGCGTGCCGTAGCCGTGGAGCTGCTCCAGGCAAGTCTCGGTTTTGTATTTGTATGTGTCTCACGTGTTTTTTATATAGAGTATTTGTTGTGTGTTTCACTTATATTACCCACGCGCGTGCGAACCAGAGACTTGGAAGAAGTTAACCACACCAACGAACCAATTTATAAAACCCTAGACCTTCTTCTTATACCTCTCTCTCTCTCTCTCTCTTTTTCGTCTTCGTCTCTTCCTCCTCCTGATTTGACTCTCGTCTCTTCGATTTCTACCGGAGAGACGACGACATCGGAAGACTTCGAATTCGTGACATCCCGATTGTTTTTTTGTTTTTTGGGATAGTGCTGCTTGTGAATTGTCCCGATGGATCTGCCTAGCCTTGCCTTAATCGTTGGCGCGGCTGCTTTCAGTCCCAATCCTGAAGAGCGTAGAGCTGCTGAGCAGAGCCTAAATCAGGTAAATTTTGATTCTTCTGTTTATTGTTCCCTCCTCTGCTTAGTTAAGACTTTTTTTTTTTTTTTTTAAATAGAATTGTTAGAGGACTAAGCTAATCAAAACTCGGCAACATAGATGCTTTTTATAAGATTGACTTGATTTGACTGTGCTTATATGATTTTAAATTTGTTTGGATTTTGTTCTTTTTTTTTTTAATTTACAGTTGCAGCACACTCCACAGCATTTGGTAAGGATATTGCAAATAATTGTTGATGGTGGCTCTGACCTTTCTGTACGCCAATCGGCTAGTATCCACTTCAAGAATTTCATTTCTAAGCATTGGGAACCTCATTCTGGTAATTGTCTCTTTCTTTTGAATTGATCAATTATACTATTTGTTAGCTCTTTGCTTGTTTTACATTTGTTTTTTTTCTCGGTTTTTCAGGTGATCAGAACAAAATCTTGCCCAGTGATAAAAATGTTGTCAGGGACCAGATTCTTGTATATGTCTCTCAAGTTCCCCCGATTTTGAGGTAGCAGTTATACTATTCCTTGCAGCACTCATTAAGACAATGCCCTTTTTGCAGTCCACCGACTGATTTGTTTTGTCTTATCTAGAGTTCAATGGTTGATTATATATATACTCCCACAACTGATGTAAAATGTCAACTATAAAGTATGCATTTGGAAAGACAACCTCTGTTTTTGGCCCTTATTCTAGCTTGTTATTGGTGCGCATGATGCAGAGTTCAGATGGGAGAGTGCCTCAAGACCATAATTTACGCTGACTATCCTGAGCAATGGTCCCATCTCCTGGACTGGGTGAAGCACAACTTGCAAGGTCAACAAGTTTATGGAGCATTATTTGTCTTGCGGATTTTATCTTCAAAATACGAGTTAGTCTGCTTCTCTGATTTTTTATTTATCTTTTGAAACTGACTGTCCAAATCACCATGTGCATAAGAATTGTAGCTCAACTTATTTATTTTCCTGTTCGTAGTTCATGTCACAAGCATAGATTAGCAATTGGCCTTTTTCAGTCATCTTATTATGTTTGTTCTTCCTCTGAAAATTTCCTTGTCTTTTATGAGAAATAGAGTTCCTCTATACCCTTTTGGTCAATTAATTTAATATTTTTTTTTCCAATTTTTGACTCTTCTTATCCCCATAAATCAAACTTTTATTTGCCATTATGCTTCAGCTCCTCTTATTATTAATGATAATGATACAAATCGGATTCTATAATCACTAGTGTTCTTTATTGGTGCTCTGCCTCTTGCATAGTGCTTTGTAGATTTTATTTACACTGCTCAGTTTTGAGAGTCCTAGAGGTTTATATCTTTGCAGCCATTATTAGCTTATGTAATTCCTGTGGGCTCAATTCTTGAACTTGCAAAATCATGGCATAATTATCAGTAGTAGATTAGTCGGAAAGATATGCGCATTTAGATTAGCTTGGGTTACATATCACTGTGGGGTTGATACTGTCTCAGGAAGAGTTTGACTATCAATATCATATTTAAAATCAGAGCAACACCTTGCAGATTCAATCAGATATACATTTTTAAGTTCCCTTTCTGCTTTTCCCACTTTCTGTTTATAGGTTTAAGTCAGATGAAGACAGGGCACCCATTCACCGAGTAGTCGAGGAGACCTTTCCGCACCTTTTGAATATATTTAACAATCTCGTCCATGTTGAAAATCCTTCTCTCGAAGTGGCAGACCATATCAAGCTTGTATGCAAGATATTTTGGTCGTGTATTTATGTAAGTTTTACATCTTGCAGTAATTATCCTTAATTGTTTGTAGCTGTTCCCTGGCTTCAACTGGGGAATTTTGTGGATTTTTTTTTTTGTAAGAAGTATATGGGTTTTAGGAGGTTGGTAATGAAGTTCTATTTTATAATTCTCGTGTATCCTTGTTCCATACAGCTAGAGCTCCCAAGACCATTATTTGATCCAAACTTGTTTAATGCTTGGATGGGTTTGTTCCTAAACATTTTGGAACGTCCTGTTCCCATAGAAGGCCAGCCTGAAGACCCTGAGCTTAGGAAATCTTGGGGGTGGTGGAAGGTCAAAAAATGGGTTGCTCACATTTTAAACAGGCTGTACACTCGGTATGCAGGAACATTGAAATCCTACCATTGACTTACAACCTAACATTTTTTTCATCTGCCTTGACTTAACAATTTTATGAACCTATTTAGGTTTGGAGATCTGAAACTTCAGAATCCGGATAACAAAGCCTTTGCCCAAATGTTCCAGACGAATTATGCAGCGAAGATATTAGAATGCCACCTGAAACTGTTGAATACCGTACGTATTGGTGGATATCTTCCAGATAGAGTCATCAACCTAATTCTTCAATATCTAAGCAACAGGTCTGATATACTCTCTGGCAAAATTTTGACCAACTTTAGAAATTTATTTGAATATGAGTTCTCTGGAGATATTGACATGAAAAAATCATTGCACCTGATGTCCCCAGTATAGGTTCTTTTGGCTTTATTGGAGACTCTAGCTAGTAATATTTTCTTCTGGTTTAAAAAATTGCTGGTGTTTTCATATCTTTTCTCACGTCTAACCAGAGCCGTAATTATTATGTCTTGGATTGATTTTCTAGTTGCATATTTATTGTTTCCTTCAAAACCGATAACTGCTCTATTTGCATACTGATTTCTTTATTATGTATGGGGTACCATAATTCTTATTGGCTATCTATGTCTCTGCAGTATCTCGAAGAATAGCATGTACAACTTACTGCAGCCACACCTTCATACTCTACTTTTTGAAATAGTTTTTCCACTTATGTGCTTCAATGATAATGATCAAATGCTTTGGGATGAAGACCCACATGAGTATGTACGGAAGGGTTATGGTATGTCCATAAAGTCTACCTTGTATTGTTTGGATAATCCTAAAATATGCCTTGTATGTTTTTTTTTTACTTTCTTTTTCTAACTACAATAAAACATTATCTGTCTACAGATATCATTGAAGATTTATACAGTCCCAGGACTGCGTCTATGGACTTTGTGACTGAGCTAATCAGAAAGCGTGGAAAAGAAAATTTCCCAAGATTTATACAGTTCATCGTGGACATTTTTAAGAGGTAACTTCAAGCTTCGTCTACAAAAAATAGAAAAGGATATTTTATTATTCCGACATGATATGATTACATCGTTTATTTGTTTTAGATATAATGAAGCATCTCTGGGAGAAAAGCCTTATCGCCTTAAGGATGGTGCTCTGCTTGCTGTTGGGACACTTTGTGATAAACTTAGGCAAAATGAACCCTACAAGTCTGAGCTAGAGAATATGTTAGTGCAACACGTTTTTCCTGAATTTAGCAGCCCGGCTGGTCATCTTAGAGCTAAGGTATTAGTGACAGATTTGGTTTAAGCCATATTTTTATTCATTATCATCTATTCATGTGCTCAAAGATGTTGCAGATACCTACTACCAGTTACCTGATGTTTTGAATTTACTCTATCTCCATTTGCTTCAAATTATCTTTTACTGCTTTGTGAAGCTCTGTGCCTGAACATCTGAACTTCTTGTATATATCACTACCATGTGAATTCTCGAAGGATTATTTTTTGGTATAGGATATGCTCGCTTAGATGCTGCAGTGACTGAATTATTTGTTCATTGTTATCTTTCTAGGGTTTCTGTGACAAAACAATTTGAACATCTGTGCCTGAACATCTGAACATCTGTGCCTGAACATCTGAACGTCTTGTATATATCACTACCATGTCAAATTCTCGAAGGACTATGTTTTTGGTATAGGATATGCCCGCGTAGATGCTGCAGTGACTGAATTATTTATTCATTGTTATCTTTCTAGGGTTTCTGTGACCAAACAACCTGTGATTGTTTTGCATCATCCACATTGCTTTCATCACATGGATATTGTAACTTGTCAAGCTTATTTCTTTATCTCATCTACTGTGTAGGCTGCATGGGTTGCAGGGCAATATGCCCATATCAATTTCTCAGACCAGAGCAACTTTTCCAAGGCACTGCATTGTGTTATCTCCGGAATGCGTGATCCCGAACTTCCTGTTCGGGTGGATTCAGTTTTTGCTTTGCGGTCATTCATTGAAGCCTGCAAAAGTAAGTATCAGCACCACCAGAAAAATATGTTTCTTTCTTTCTTAAGATTTTCCTACCCTTCAGACTTTTTGTGTTTAACATGGAATTGTATATTCGACTAAATTTATCTCCCCTGCAGATCTAGATGAGATTCGCCCAGTTCTTCCCCAGCTTCTTGATGGTACGCTATACAAATGATTTTACTTTTTCCATTTCAAGTTATTTCGCTAAAACAGAACATTGTGTTAACTAACTAATAATCGGAATGGACTTGTGCTGTGCAGAATTTTTCAAGCTAATGAATGAAGTTGAAAATGAAGACCTTGCTTTTACTTTAGAAACTATTGTGTATAAGTTTGGAGAGGAGATTTCTCCTTATGCTTTGGGTTTGTGCCAGAATTTGGTAAGATAATATACTGTAGTGTCCCCTTTTTTAGTTTTATATTACTTTTAGCCCTATTATACCTTGTTCATGATAATAAATTCCAGGCCAGTGCATTTTGGAGGTGTATCGACACTGACAACGGTGATGATGAAACTGATGATGCTGGTGCATTGGCTGCAGTGGGATGTCTCCGTGCCATCAGTACAATTCTTGAATCTATCAGTAGTCTCCCTCATCTCTATGGTCAGATTGAACCACATTTGTTGCCAATAATGCGGAAAATGCTGACAACTGATGGTCAAGGTATGCATACTGTTTTAGAAATTCTATAAGCTCTGGAATTGTTAATCATTTGCTTGGTTCTTTTGAATGATGTGTATTTAATGCATTGGGATTGATGTCATTTGTACTTGTTTTAAACATTGTGCTTCATCTATATATTTTATCTGGCCAGATGTGTTTGAAGAGGTTTTGGAGATCGTCTCATATATTACTACTTTTTCACCTACAATATCATTGGATATGTGGAGCTTATGGCCTTTAATGATGGAAGCACTCGTGGATTGGGCAATTGACTTCTTCCCAAGTATGAACATGCAGTCCTTTTTTGCCGTTTCTGTTTTCATAAAACTCATTCACTTTTCTTATTTACTTTTCCTTTTTGCCTGATCCTTCTTTTGAATATTATTAGATTTATTGGTCCCACTGCACAACTACATATCCAGGGGGACTGGACATTATCTCACTTGCAAGGAACCAGATTACCAGCAAAGTCTCTGGAGTGTGATCTCTGTGGTAAGCTCAATATCTGATAGTTGCCGTTTACTCATTTAAGAAAAAAAAAAGATGGCATCATCCTTTTTCCCACCCAGTGAACACATACTTATATATCGGTTAACTTGATAATTCCTTCTCATGGCAGCTTATGGCGAATAAAAATATTGATGACAGTGACCTTGAGCCAGCTCCAAAGCTATTAGGGTTAGTGCTTCAGACTTGTAAGGGGCAGGTGGATCAATGGGTGGAGCCCTACATGAGAATCACACTAGATCGGCTACGAGGTGCTGAGAAATCTTCTTTCAAGTGTCTTCTGGTTGAAGTGGTAAGCAAAGTAGACGCTGTTAAACTGTGTGCATCATGAAGTCATTTAGCTGTCTTTCACTGAGTTAAGCTATGTGTTTTACTTCCTGATTGGCAATAATTTTTGAATATATCCCTGTGATAATACCCTTGGGCAGATTGCAAATGCCTTTTACTACAATACCCCTTTGGCACTTGGCATACTGCAACGGTTTGGTATCGCAACAGAAATTTTTACTCTATGGTTCCAAATGCTGCAAGAAAAGAAGAAGAGTGGTGGATATGCTAACTTCAAGAGGTGGGTAAATCCAATCTTTTTGAACCTCTATCTTTCTCTTCTCTTCACATTTCCTTCAAGATGTAAATTATCTTCCTTGCTTTACATGCAGAGAGCATGATAAGAAAGTTTGCATATTGGGGTTGACATCACTTTTCAGTCTCCCTGCTGGACAATTGCCCGTAGAGGTCTTGCAACATGTATTCAGGGCTCTTCTCGAGCTTTTAGTGGCATACAAGGATCAGCTTGCTGGTCAGTGCCATCTACTATTTCCCATTTCTCTTACCATTGACCCTCGCCGATACTCATATTTGAACATTTATGACAGAAGCTGCAAAGGCAGAAGAGGAAGAAGACGAGGAAGATGACGACGACATGGATGAATTCCAGTCAGATGATGAGGATGAGGATGGTGATGACGAGAATCCAGATGAAACTGATGGAAGCACGCTCCGCAAGTTAGCAGCACAGGTCTGTCTTCTTTAACCACTGAATCTAATCCTCTAAATGATATCATGAAAGGTGCAGTGTGCTTGTCGTAGTAGCTCACTAAGTTAAGTTGCTTCTTTTGTGTATTATCATTAGGCAAAGGACTTCCGCTCTTACAGCGACGATGATGACTTTTCAGACGATGATTTCAGCGATGATGAGGAATTAGACTCTCCAATTGATGAAGTGGATCCTTTCGTTCTATTCATGGATGCAGTCACAGGTATTATGAGAGAAACGATATTATATAATATGATTTTTGTTTTTGTTTTTGCCATGTATATATTTGACATATAAGCATTAAATTTGGTTTTGTTTCAATAGGAATGCAAGCATCAGACTCTACAAGGTTCCAAGGCCTTACCCAGACTCTAGACCCGCACTACCATGGACTCGCAAGCACTATAGCTCAGCACACGGAGCAGAGAAGAGCCGAGATTCTAAAGGAGAAACTGGAGAAGCAATCATCTGCATCCTGATTTCTCCACGGCTTCAGCGCCTTGAAAAAAAGCCAATCGTCAGTGTCTCATTTGGCTGCATTATTTTAAAGTAAGCTTCTCTCTATATTTATCCTTAAAAAGATAAAAGAGAGGCTTATCAAGATGAGTCAGGTCGACTCTCATTAGTCAGTCATGTCTTAAGAGAGACCAATCTCTGCCATCTCCAGTTTTGCATTTTTATCGTCATCATCATTGTTTTTATTTTTTTTTTGTTTTCTTTTAGTCATCCAAAAAGACCAAAACAAAAGACAACAAAAAACCCATTCCGGGTTCTTTTATTTTATTTTTGTTTCAGATAGAACAGAGAACCCTTTGGGAGGTTTTTATGTTCTCCGATTGGGATTGGAGGCATCATATATTAAAGAAAAAAAGCACATAGTTTTTTTTTCAATAATAATATTTTATGTTTTAATCACTACTACGTGAGCTTTATATTTGCTTGATTTTGAGTCGTTCTTTAAAACTCTGTTCATCTGCAGCCATCGCCAGTCAAGTCAAGCTCTGTCCATAACTGTATTTTTAAAAAATTTAAATGAATTTGATAGTAATAAAACGGTCAATTTCCCCCTTTTGTTTTGATTTGTTAATCTTTGTCAGATGAAATTATACATTTACACAACCAAATATTTGTTCATTAAGCTTAATATATATATACTGGTGGTGCACACCAAAAATTAAATAAATAAAAGGGAAAAAAAAGTGGTCAATGTAAAGCGATAATGTGGGCAACAGATCAGTTATATCAGTGATCCACTTTCATCGAAAATTTCGAAACTTTATTTATATTCTCCTAAATTGTTTTTTTAATTATTATGAAATTTTGTATATGTAAGTTACAATTCAGAACTTTTCTTTGTCAACTTGTGTTATGATTAGATTAAGTGCATCTTACTACTATGATTTTCTTTTTCATATGGGGATTAAGATAGTATGATTTTCATATGATCTTCCCCTAAATTATTTTTGTGTTCTTTTCCTTTTTCATATGATTAGTATTTTGAGGGAGGAAAGAAAATTAAAAAAAATCCACTCAGAGGCAAGTAAGTGAGTAACCCAACATTAATACGTAACTTTGTTCGTAAAAACAAAAACCTCATTGAGTTTCTCTTTAGCGCCAACTTTTGTTGGGTTTGCGAATTATGTGTACTCTTGTTGGTAACTTGGTATCTTTCCATGATTCTTTTGTTGTTGTTTGGTTATTTGCTAGTATGAAAATTTATACTCTTTTGTGGTTTTAAAAGCATTTCCTCATTTGGTTGAAGACGTTTAATTTGCAACTGGAATGACTTCTAGAAGGTGTGAACTACCCCTACACATACTATGCATTGTTAGTATGATCATAAGTGTCACCTTTTTCTTTTCTTTTTTATTTGCCAATGACTAGAAAATATTATTAAGTTTTAAAGAGCTCTTTTTTTGTGTGTGTTTATACCTTTATTAAAATTATATGAAATGTAATCTACATGTGACTAATGACTTTTCGTTTATGTTAAACGAATTATAACAAAAGCGTACGTTAGGTGCCAATGATACTTCTATAACCTTCGTTTTCGTGCTTTATGCTAAGGGCGAATCATCAAATCAATCAGTTTCACTCCCTTCATTAGAATTCATTTAATTATTTCTCTGCATTCATTTCTATACCTTCTTTTCTGTTTTCCTAGTTTTCTTCTGAGTAACCAAACTTCAACTTTACAACAGAAAAATAAAATTAATCGAAGAAGACAACCGACAGACTGACTTATTATTATTACGAGGTTAATAGATCGAGAATTCGACCAATTCCCATGAAACTGATGGTACCATTTTTGCTGTTAAATTGGTTTGATGAAAATTCGAGTGGTTAGCCCAATTATAAAGATCAATTCAATATCTGATACAGCAACATACAAAGCATGATAATCATAAGATTAATAACCCATTACAGATCACTTTTTTTTTTTTTTTACTTTAATAGTCATGTTTCACAATCAATATATGCGAATTTCCAATACATGCTCATTTTTACAAGTTACTCGTATGTATACATACTAGGCTAGTTGTTATTTAAACCAGGGCAAGGACGACAAAGTAGTAATTGACGACGACGTTCCCAAAATACTGATAGACTATCATTTTCGTTATCTAATTATCTTTGGCCTTTTTTGGCGAAAAAACCTATGAATTGTAAGGTGCCGATTGATTTGTCACACAGACCCACAATCGAAAATTCTATATGGTTACGGTTTTTCTTCTAACTATATATATATGCCCTAAACCCGTTTAGTCTTTTCTAATCTTAATTATGATATATACTCTTGTTTTGATCAACCTTGTGTATTATTTATATACGTCATATACGTACGTACGTTATGTCTATTTTTATTTTGTTTTGTCAACAACATGTATTCTGTGGGTTTGCGTTAAAGTAGTGTTGCAACAATACTACTAGCTAGCTAATACAAATCCTTAGTAAGTACAGTATGAATAACAAATTATTATATTTTTATTAAATCATGATAAAATGTATGAATTTTCAATCAGAAAAGATTTATGTTGAAAATGAATGCCAGACACGATAAGAATATAAATCAGGGAATTACCTAATATATAAAACATAGTTCATGTCAATATGCTTTATTCATAAAATAATTTATTGTTGGGAAGAAAAATCGAGGTATGGTGTTTTTGTGTGCGTGTTTACTTGTAGCTATCGACTTAGAAAAGTATATATAGCCTATTCAATTAGAGAGGAGGTGAAGTCAACATGTATCTCCAAAATATATAAGTCAATTCTCTTTGGCTTCATATATTATACAAACCATCGTCTTAATATTAAGGGTCCACTTTTAGTTGTGTCAATGTACGTAACTCTCACCCTTTTATTTCTTAGCGTGGTCAGATTTTTAATAACGATATCGAGATAAATATTGAAATATATCAACTAAGTTGCGATAGAATGAAATCAGCTACGATCAATATTGATCGTGATCATGATCAATGTAGAGAATTTTCTTTTTTTAATAAAGCAATGCATGAAAATAGAGAGCATCAATGTGTTTAGTCTTTAGTGGCATGCATTGTTTTCCAGCTCAGATTTCAACTCAGAGACAAAGACATATCCATGGCCCAAGTGGTAGACTTGTTGTTATATATTGTTTTGTTTGTCTATCTTTTTGTGTTTACGTGTGTGTCTATATTTCCATAAATATTAACGGAATATGTTTTCTTTATTCTACACATGCATGAAAGTTAAAAAGAAGATTCTATCTTCTAGTTTTTTTGGTACTACTACAAATTTAAGGATCATAATTTGATACTATAGACTATATATAGATAGGTAGAGAGGTCGACACCTAAAAGCAAACCCACCCACTTTGTTTCCGTTCATTCTGCAGTACTACTACTTCTACATTATTTATTTATTTTGTCTTAGTTCAATTCTATATATCTTCTTCGTACGGACTATTTAGAATTGGGTTTAATATTATAATGTTTCATGGACACTCCCAACCTATGGTACGTTCTAGATCGTCCCTATATTGTGAACCCTTTATTTTGTATGATCTATCTGCGGGTCATGACTTATGACCAACATCAAACCATAGAGTATGTAGGTTTTTGATAACATATCTTCTTGCAATGTATATGATTATTAATTGAACTGAACATATATATGATAACATATCTTTTAATGACTAATATATGCATGATCTCTTTACTCTCCAATCTCCATTAATCTATATATAAATACAGTAATACAACCTAGCTAATAATAAGTTTTTCTACGTAGATATTTCTGTAGATAAAATCCGTACACCTTTAACGTGTATTGAGGTTTTTGACACGAATTTTAAAATTCCTCGTGTGAGTATAATAAATATACAAATACTGAGTACACTAAAAGGAGAATCGCCAGACAAGGTAATCGGTTAAGATAATTGAAATGTAGTTGATTTGTTTCCGGCGGGTCTAAGTCGTTGGGTAGTAGCTAGTGGCGACGGCGACTGACTGATAACTATCTTTAGGGTACTCTCTTGGCGAAATAAAGATATCGATATCTCATTCAATTACACATTTTTAATATCCATGTGCGTTTGGTGGAATCATTTATCCATTAATTAGGTATATCGATCATGTGATATATATATATTTGTCTTAAATTTCTCAAATAATATTTACGTAACTAAAAACTATATTATATATATATATATATATATATATATATTATATATATCCCATATCTGCATATATCGTTACTATTTTGCTACAGTCTGGCAACACCGAAACCCCGACTAAAGGCTTCTGCTTTCGTCAAAGAGTTTGCATTTAAATCATTACATTGCATAGAGAACGATATTGGGGTCCATTCATAAAATCATTTCAAAAGTTCCTTATTACATTTACATCTCATATATACTATACTATACTATATATATTTTTCTTTTTGGCAATCCCATCATACACAGAAATTAAATGTCAATATGATCACTATCATTTTAATATGTAAAATGAAAATTGAATCAGTGTTGCAAAAAAAAAAAGGAACATTAAACAACTTTATATATCATGTAACTATGATCCTTATAATAATTATAATCCTTATTTATCATTATAATAATATACTCCAGAGATATGATCTTGCCATTCTAATTCGTCGCAAGGAGTTACGTTTTACGTTAATATTTTTCAGGCATTGGTTAAATGTTAGTGGGAAACCAGCTTAAATTATTTTTCATTATCTTCATCGCCTTCGCTATTTGTGACATCAAGTCATAACCATAGAAAACATAAGGCTGAAACCCTAAAACACATAAACATAACCGTCAACGAAACTGGATCGTCGTGTAATCACAAATAATTCAAGATCAGATCCAATGTATGCATATTAACAAAAACTCGGTATCTAATCAACCTATTTCTTTAAAAAAAAACCCATCTATATATGAAAATAGAAATGCAAATGATATTAGCTAGGTTGGGTTACTATATAATTTACGTTTAGATGTCACAACTCACAAGTGTGTTAAAGTGTATATACTTTTCAAACTAAAGAAACGCTTCTTTTTTTTTGTCGTCGGATAATTTCAGAAATGTCAAGTTTTTTATATAAACAACAATTTGTAAATTGTTATCGAGAAACAGAAGGGATGAGAAGATGAATCATTGTCAACCAATTAAACGATAAGAAAACAAAAACGAATCAACCTTTCAAAAAGCCATCAATTATTACCGGACAGGAAGGGATGGTGGCTGTCTTATATGCAACAAAAAAAAAGAGAGGCAAAATTGGATTATTCTTTTATAGCTAAGCTAGGTTTATATATTGATTTTGCTATACAATTAGTTGAAACGTTAAGAGTCATATGCAGTAATAACGAAATAAATAAAACAGCCTAACCTCGCCAACAAGATTATATATTGCGTAAGTAACATCGTACGTGATAGAAATACAACCAAAGACGGATGTATGTGTATAGCCTAGTCTTTTTTAGGGCTGTCACTTTATTCGACAACGGAAAAACGGACTTTTGACAAATTACTCCTATGAAAATATATGGTATCATCATATTCAAAATATAATTAAGAAACATTGACATTTTTTTTACCGAATTTGAATTCATGATATTGCACACACTATATTGTCACTAATATATTCAATTGTTTACAATACTCGATGATCACGTGTAGTCTTCTTTACACGAAGAAAGATTTGACTGATGCGTTAAAATGTAAAACGTACACAGGGTAAACTAAAAATGCTAACCAAAACGAGGATATGAGCTAAAAAAAAAAAAAAAAAAAAAGAAGGTCGATCTCTTCCCGATTTTTGGAAGTCGAATTTATGAATTTGGTCCACCTCCTCTTCAAAAGTTTCTTCCTAGTACTGTTTTATTTATTCTTTAAGAACAAAAAAAAACTAATAGTACTTTATTATGAAACTATATATAGATTAGCAAGCAGTCAAGCACATATAACACTTCTTCTCTACAACACACTATAATCATTAACCTTGCACATAAATCACGATGGCAACTTCATTATTCTCGTCACCAAATCATAAGTTCCGGATCAAAATATTGTTTTTCCTGATCTTAAACCTCTTGTCTCTTCATACTTTAGTTTTTGCCCATTCATCAAACTCAAAATTTACAAAATTCACAAGACACCCAAACTCCGATTCATCATCAAGAACCAAACCCTCGCCTTCTTCTAACAAAGGATTTCACAACTCAGTCCAACTCAGCTTGGACCACGCTCGTTTAGCTCGTTCCCTGGCCTTGAATCTCACACTTTCGCACCGTACCTCTCAAACCCTCATGCTCGATCCTGTCAACGACTGCCTTGAGCTGCTTGACGATACACTCGACATGTTGTCTCGCATCGTTGTCATCCAGCGTGAAGATCAGGTCAACAATGATGTCCATACGTGGCTAAGTGCGGCGTTGACTAACCAAGAGACCTGTAAGCAAAGCCTCAGCGAGAAATCTAGCTACAACAAAGAAGGAATCGCGATGGATTCCTTCGCAAGAAAGCTCACCGGTTCACTAACCAATTCCCTAGACATGTTCATGTCCGATAAGCGGAAAAGCTCTTCTTCGGCTGTTGTAGTTAGTGGCCGGAAACTGTTGTCCGATCATGAATTTCCGACGTGGGTTTCTTCGTCGGACCGGAAGCTTTTAGAGGCTTCGGTAGAAGAGCTGAGACCTCACGCGGTGGTGGCAGCGGACGGAAGCGGGACACACATGACCGTCGCCGAAGCATTGGCGTCTTTGGAGAAGGGAAGTGGAAGAAGCGTAATTCATTTAGCAGCCGGAACCTATAAAGAGAATCTCAATATTCCGACCAAACAGAAGAACGTTATGTTGGTTGGTGACGGGAAGGGGAAAACAGTCGTTGTCGGTAGCAGAAGTAACAGAGGTGGCTGGAATACTTACCAATCCGCTACTGTCGGTGAGATTTTTAACTACAAATATTAAATTATAGAATTGAAATGTCTGAATCAAGAATTAATGGTTCGTCCGAGAAAGAAAAATCAAGATATGTGTAAAAAGATCCATGTACGACATATAATAACTATAGTCTTTTTCATACATGTCGTACTTATAGGTTAGTATTTACTATTTCACTAGTTTATTGTGTTAAAACCTAGAGAAGTGTTACTTTTTTAATATTTATGATGTTTTCTATGCAGAAAGTTTAAGGTTTACTTTTGGTCAACCTAACAGTTTTTATTTCAAGGTTTAAATACTTAACAAATTCCTAGTTTTAATTGTCTTTTTTTTTTTTTTTTAATATGGAAGCCGCCATGGGAGATGGATTCATAGCTCGGGACATAACCTTCGTGAACAGTGCGGGACCAAACGCGGAACAAGCTGTGGCATTACGGGTCGGATCAGACAGGTCCGTTGTATACAGATGCTCCATAGATGGGTACCAAGACTCACTCTACACACTATCCAAACGACAATTCTATCGAGAAACTGACGTTACCGGGACCGTTGATTTCATATTCGGGAACGCCGCCGTCGTTTTCCAAAGCTGCAACCTCGTATCTCGTAAAGGCTCGTCAGAACAAAACTACGTAACGGCGCAGGGGCGGTCCGACCCAAACCAGAATACCGGGATTTCTATCCATAATTGCAGAATCACCGGTTCGATCGGGACTTATTTGGGTCGTCCGTGGAAGCAGTACTCTAGGACTGTCGTGATGCAATCTTTTTTGGACGGTTCCATCCACCCTTCGGGTTGGTCTGCATGGTCGAGTAACTTCGCTTTGAAGACTCTTTATTACGGAGAATTCGGGAATTCGGGTCCTGGTTCGTCGGTTTCGGGTCGGGTTAGCTGGGCCGGGTATCACCCGGCGTTGACGTTGACCGAAGCTCAAGGGTTTACCGTGTCGGGTTTCATTGACGGGAAGTCGTGGTTGCCGTCAACAGGTGTCGTTTTCGACTCTGGCCTTTTATAAGTTTTTACTCTACTCATATTCATATATGTATATATATATATATATATATATATATGCTTTAAATTGGTTATTAACTAATGATCAATGATGTGGTTAAACAAAAGTATATGTAATATTGATAAATAGTTGTGTATTACGCGTTTTGTGTTTGGTTTGGGTTGTATATATAGATACGTCCTATAGTTGTAATTTCTCTTGTGGTGAATAAAAGTGATCAATTGGTATGTGTGAAATATCTTTGGATGAATTCACTATTACTAATCTTTTTTCTTGATTTTGAACCTATACATAACATAATGTGTGCTTATCTATGTATATATATACACATAGTGGGTTAATTCTTTAACCAACCCTCAAATTTACGCAAAATTTTGGAAGATAATACACAACTATATTAATTTAATTATGATTACAATACAAAATGGAAGAAGACTAATTCCGTAATTCGGCCTTGTCTTACCCCATTATGTCTACATTGTCTAGTCTAGCTTAGGTGATCATTCGGTTTGGTTAAGTCAAACCGGTAACAATTCGAATACAAAATTGCTTTTAATTCCGGTTACCACATTGTAGTAAATTAACGAAGGAGATACAGTAGCCAATTTTTAGTGTCATTTTAGTTTGACAGCTCCATCTTAACCGGCTGCCAGAACGCAACAATGGCGGCGGCTTCTCTCAAAATCACAAACCCAACATTTGCCAAGAAGACTGTAGCTTCCTCCAAAAACCCTCCCTTTGCTCCTTTCCGGTCATCTTCTCTCGGAGTCAATTACTTCTCCACTGCCATCAAATTCAGATCCATAGTCTCAAGAGTCACTCACTTAAAAATCGTCCCACGCGCCGCCGCTTCTTCTTCTGCCGAGACTCAAGGTAGAATAGACCTTCCATGGCCTCTGTTACGTGGTTGGTGATAACATCGACACCGATCAGATTATTCCCGCCGAGTATCTCACTCTTTCCACCTCGAATCCAGCCGATTGCGAGAAGCTTGGCTCTTACGCGCTGATCGGACTTCCAGATACCTACAAAGAGCGATTCGTAGAGCCAGGGGAGATAAAATCGAAGTACTCAATCATCATCGGAGGTGAAAACTTTGGCTGCAGATCATCCCGTGAGCCCGCTCCTGTATGTCTAGGCGCAGCGGGAGCTAAGGCTGTAGTGGCTCAATCTTACGCTAGAATCTTCTTCCGGAATTCCATAGCTACGGGAGCTGAGGGAATGGTGATAGTGTGCTGATCAATCATACGACCGGGAAGGAGTATAAGCTCAAGGGCATTGGTGATGCTGGACCTGTCATTGATGCGCTCTATAGACTATAGCACGATGAGAAATTGAGAAGAATAAAAAGGTGTATTTTCTGGAGTTGATGGACCTAATAAATTTGTCTTATGGATAGTTTCACTGTTGGCCTAACCTTTTATGTAGACATGTGTTATGTTCCACCAGCAACGAAAGGGTAAAGTCCCCGCCAAAAGGATGAAAACTCGAACCTCCAAGGCAAGCTTTCTTGAATACGTGCTAGCAGATCACACCAAAACATATTCCGTGTAATTCACACAAACGAAACCACTTAACTTAAGGGTAACTTGGGGAAAAATCAAAAAACGAAATCTTAGGGCTTTTTGGGAAAATAGAGTCAGTCATTTGGTCTCAATGAACCTGTTTTAAAAACCAAAATACACTCTTTGTCAAAACAGCATTGTTTCAAGGTTCCTCCTGCCAATCACACAGGAAACGGCAAAACAGAGACCTTGTGCTTGTTATAAGGTACAAATTAAAACATTTATGGAAAAAGCATCCATTTTTTTTCTTTATAAGTGAAGTTCGTATGATCAGTTAAGCCATCAACGAAGAACCCATGGAAGAAAATTTGAGTTACAAATCAAAACATGCCTAGATAGTAGACGAGGAGAATCAAGATAAAAGATAATAAAGAGTAAACTAGAGATAAAAGAGACCAAGATTGCGCACAGTCCCATTCATGTTCCAAGAGACTAATGCAACTAGGATGACCAGAGTCTGTTCTTCACGCTTTTAAGTAAAGCTCATCTGGATCTTGCACTTGGAAGAAGCTCTTGGGAGCATTAGCAGATCCCTGGTGATTCTTAACTTTTCCTCGACGCTTATTCTTTTCTGAGAATGAACTTTCAGCACTTGAAGACATGGAAGTTTTCCTAAGAAATGTTTTACTTGCTGCAACTCACCGACGGTTCCGTTGTCCAATAAGGTTATCTCCAAGACCTCTAGAAGCATGACAACAGACAAGAATATCCCGACAAACACCTACAAACATAGTCAGGTTCAAGACAGTGCAGTCCACCCTGCAGCAAGAAGTTGAGATTATATTTAAGATCTAACAAACTTTTCTATAGTTTGTAATACGCTTAGATTTTAAAAAACACTTAAATACATTCATCATAACCAAGCCAGAATAGAATGTAAACCAAACATCTAAACCAAAATCTCCTGGTTTGTCCAAAATACATTGTCGTCATACCTCGATGACAAGGGTCTTCAAATTAGGAGCCTTGTTTAGCAGAAAGGGAAGAAACCTCCAACCAAATCCCGTATCATCATGTGTCATAGTTAAATGATGTAGCTTTTCGAATACCGGAATTGCATCACGGAATAAGTAAAGCGTCTGAAATCAAATCAAATCCAATCAACTTAGTGGATCTTTTGCAACAAAGCCTCAAGAAACACGTTTGCAACATTCACATATTTATGTTCTATTATTGTCTCAAACTGTAATTTCCAACAAAAAAAATAAAGAATAGAAAAAAAAAACACACTTACCTCAAAAGTATACGGAGATGATAATTCCAGGATCTGAACATGTTTTATCCCTTGAATCAGATTCGTTGCATTGCTAGACAAGATATCACCATCTTCTGAAAAATGACCACGCCATCGGCGATCTACCATCACGAGAAGATTGAGCCTGGTGAAAAAACTATAGAAGGATTTGGGGAAAACTCTTTATTATTGTGTTGTTTAATCTCTAAAGAATTGATACAATATATAGAGGCTAACTTATGTTTAACCTAATTAGAATAGGAAACAGATAAACATGAATAAGTAAATATTCTAAATTTCTTACTCCTTATCATACTTCTAGAATATTCTTCGACTTGGGCTTCACGGGTTCACTTCAATAGCGGACTTTGACGGTCCATAATAGTTAGTCTGCAAGATACACATCTTGCTCCCCAAGATATCTCCAATACTCCCCCGCACGACAAACGTGGTACACACAACGCAAACTTTGCAATCATAAAATGTAACACGTATGTCGTGGACAACTTGTCAAGGGTAGAGAAATCATGTCAACAACTCTTTAGGGTAAAAACTTCAATCTTCAAAATAGGGGTGGAACTTCAGCTCTTCTTTGGTCTTGGTAAAGGGAATAACAACATCCCGTGGGTGCAAATCATGCAAGTCCACAAACAGTTGTCCTAGTCTCAGACAGTTCACAAATCGGACTAATAACAATAACTGAAAACATGAGCATTCCAACAAACTCCCCTAATGATTAAACCATAACCAAACTTCCCCGTAATGGTAAAACTATTACCATACTTTTCTAAAATAAGAAAAGCAACAAGCTAAACAAAAAATCTGAAAAAAAATCTTAACTAAAGAATAGTTACAGAACAATAAACATAGAAATCTCGTGAAACCCTTTAAAGAGAACCTCCCAACTAGTTATTGTACCCTAACACCATTAGTGCACAAAAATAAGCCAACGTAAAATAGAAAAATTGAAACGTGACTATTAAAAAAAACATCAAACCCCATTAACTCTAGAAAAAAAAACAGATCACATGATCACACCCATACTTTTCTTTTGCTTCACGTCATCTTCATCGTCTGGTTCATCTTCATCTCCATCATCTTCTCCCGTGAGAATCACCATGATCTCTTTTGAATTTGAGACCACAAAACAAATTTCTAGTGCGGAAGCCTTTAGTTTTGATCCACTAGGATCGACTGCTCTGATACCATGAAAAAACTATAGAAGGATTTGGGGAAAACTCTTTATTATTGTGTTGTTTAATCTCTAAAGAATTGATACAATATATAGAGGCTAACTTATGTTTAACCTAATTAGAATAGGAAACAGATAAACATGAATAAGTAAATATTCTAAATTTCTTACTCCTTATCATACTTCTAGAATATTCTTCGACTTGGGCTTCACGGGTTCACTTCAATAGCGGACTTTGACGGTCCATAATAGTTAGTCTGCAAGATACACATCTTGCTCCCCAAGATATCTCCAATACCTGGCCTCCACAAGGGACTCGAAATTAACAATTGTATACCCATCCGGGACAAAATCACCGTAGTCTAAGTAGGCAAGACTCGGAGTATCAAAAGTAATGTTCTGCGGATCAGGCCCTTTAAAATCTATCAGTTCACGACCAATAGTAAGTCTTTGAAGACTTCGACTAGACACGATGCCAGACCATTTCCAAGTTTCCCAGTACATACCATCGATGGTTAGTTCCTTAAGCACAGGGCAAGCCAAAAGAAACGCCTGGAACGCACAATCATCAAGATTACAGAACCGAACTGATTCAAAAATGAGAGTCTTAAGAGATGGAAGCAAAGCATTCTGAAGCAGCAAACTGATAACAATCTCCCGCCCTAGTTTCAGCTTATTGAGTGTCTTGCAAGTGAAGATCTCCAAAGGCAATATATATCCATTTCAAGATCCCTGACACCACGATTGTTCAACACATCACGTAGCCAGTGGTTGATACGATCTGAATCAAGACCCCTTTCAGATTTTAAAGAGAATCTCCTAATGCGCGTAGTAGTTTCCAGCCGAGCCAACGCTTCACTCACAAGACCCGTGAAAGTCCCCTGAAACTTAGCTCTGTCGTCGAACACAAGATCTTGTATGATGGTATATACATTCCTAAACCTTCTTGAGAGAACCAACAAAGACGCAGCATCCTTTGCAGCAAGAAAGCTCACGATTCGACTAATAAGTTCATCTGGTAGATTGCTGATACGATCCATCTTCTCGCACTTAGACTCTAGCGAACCAATCCGTTCCAATCAAACCACAAACCCAACGAAGATTATGAGATCTAAAAGAACGATTTGAAACTTAATCCAGAAGAAGAAGAACCCAGAGACGGAGAGCGAAGGAAATACGAGACTGCCTCACTTCTTGAATTGATCCGAACTTTCTTGATTAAGCACAGAAAGGTGTCTCTAGAAACGCTGCGTTTTGCCTTTTAATGAAAAGGCACAGCTTGGATTAGTGCAATTAATTGGGCTTTTATTTGTTGTGTTAAGCCGTCGTGGGCTTTTCCCTTTATAATATCCGAAAAGAAACATCATTAAACCAGCAATTAAGAACTTCACCAAAGTTGCTCTTTCTTTCTTTAAGAGTTACTTTTAGTTTTAGCAATCAAAAACTATATGTTGTAATTTTATATAATTATTTTATTTACTTAAATAATGGATAAATTTCTCCATTGAATAAGGCATCATCTAGACTATATTTTTTTTTTTGAAGTGTTAAAAAAATGTATTAATGGGCTTTTAGTTTAGAACAGGATAAGTCCTATAATTAATTTATGATTAATTACCGTGTTTGGGAGTTATATAAATAAGTCTGCTCATTCAACCAAAAGATCATTAGAGAGATAGAGATGAACAGATATAGATGTCAAAGGAGGAGGAAGAGCAGTGAGGGAGAAGGAGAAGATGCAATCAACAACTTACCAGAAGATCTACTTTGTCATATCTTGTCTTTCCTTCCGACCAGGGAGGCAGCTTTGACATCTGTTCTGTCCAAGAGATGGCGAGATTTATTTACATTGCTACCTAGACTTGATTTTGATGACTCCATCTTTATGCCTTGTTTAAGTCCTGAAGAATGCCCAAGGACTAGTTTCAGAGAGTTTGTGAGCAGAGTTCTTGCTCTTAAATCCAATTCCCCCATTATTAAATTTTCTCTCATATGCCATGAGGGTGTTGACAAAGATCTTGTTGAGGATTGGACAAGCAAAGCTCTGAGACGTGGAGCAACAGATCTTACCTTAATATTGCTCTTATCTTCACAAAAATATTCACTGCCTTCTAGTATCTTCCGCAATAGCCACAACTTGATAAAGCTGAAACTAGGATGTGGGAGACTTGGTATCCTATTTCAAAGAGGCTTTATCTTTACCAATCTTAGAACTCTGCATCTTAATTCTATTGAATTCAATCCTAATTATGGGAGTATTGACCGGCTTCTATCTAAATGCCCTATGCTGGAGGAGTTGATCGTAAATTGTATAAATTGGCACCGTTGGAGCTCTGCATCAGTGTCTTCCCCAACCCTTAAGAGACTAACTATTGATGGTGAACAATATCTACATCATATACTCAGGGTGTCTCGTCGAGAGCAAATGTAAGTGAACCCATCGTTTTAGTGCCTTACAACTTCAGTTTCCTAGGAAAAACCAAAAAACTTCAATTTTTGTTTTTATCTTGCCCAGAGCACCCGAAAAGTTCAAACCTAAAGAGCCTTACGCCATACCCCCAGACTACGGTTCTGCGAACCCTCGCGATGTTTCGTTTGATACACCAAACCTCATCTACTTAAACTACTCAGATATTGTTGCGTGCAACTATCCGCTTGTCAAATTGGATTCCCTTGTTGAAGCTAGGCTCGATGTTGGATCGAATACAAGTCAGATGCATGCAAGAGATTCCGACGAATTTCAAGTTCGTTGGGATGCTACCAATCTTATCATGGGGATACAAAATGTTAAAATCCTGCACTTAACTTCAGCTACCATTGAGGTTATCTTTTCTTTCTTCTTTCATATCTTGTGGTTGATTAATAATATTTACCCATTTGAAGTGATTCAACAAGTTGTATTGATGTGTGTTTCCAGGTGATTGAAGACTTTTGTAAGACGGTACCGGTATTCCACAACCTGAATCATTTATCAATTGAAAGTGACGATGAACGAGGATGGCAAGCCTTGCCTCTCCTTCTCACCAACTGCCCCAATCTACAAACTCTCCTCTTCCATGTAAGAAACTAAAAACTCTGTTTTAACTTTTTCATATGTTACTTATTGCACATTCTTTAATTATCTGGTTGCTTCTTCCTCAGGGTCTCCACCACCGTGTTACGGATGGATGTGGAGATGCTTGTGACTGCATCTCTTCTCCTCCTCCTCCTTCTCCTTCTTGTTTATCATCGTGTCCTGTGAAGATCTTGAAGATATTGGACTTTGGTGCAACCTGTGGAGAGATGTCATTAGTCGAACATTTCCTCAAGAAGTTGCCTCTGCTTGAAAAAGTGATCATCGTGCTACAATGTGAATCCTTCATAGAGGAGGGCTGTGATCGTATTAAAGTCTCCAAGGCACTGGAGATGTCCCCGAGAGCTTCATCAAACTGCAAGTTGAAGGTTGTTAATCATTAGTTCCGATGAATCTCTCTGCAGCCAATAATATGTTGCTGTTTCTTTTTAAGTCCATTGCATTTTATGCAATCTGATCATCTTACATGTTTAATTAGTCAGCCTCTGAAGAGTTTGAGTTAAATACTACGCATTGCATCGTTTCCCGCCACAAAGTACAATGTGACATTTGCTTCTTAGAAATTACTAAGATACAAATAAAAACAAAATGCCTAGAAAGTAGATAGAGACTGAAGATAACTAGGAGAATCCAATTAATAAAAATATCAGAGGGAGTAACGAGAGATAAAAGTGACCAAGAATGTGCACAAATCGATTCATGTTCCAACAGACTTAAGCAGCTAGGAGAACAATAAGCTACTACTAGTCTTCAGTTAAAACTGAGCTGGATCCTGCACTTGGATGAAGCTCTCTGAAACATTTGAAGATCCGTGTGGATTCTTAACTTTTCACTATCGCTTATTGTTCTCCAAGTATAAACTTTCAGCATCTCCAGACGTGGCAACTTTCCTAAGAAATGTTTTACTTGCTGCAACTCGCCAGTTGTCCCACTATACAATAAAGTTAACTCCAAGACCTCTACAGGACATGTCAATAGACAAAAATAGTATTAAACTAATTAAACCAACATCTTTTCTTTGACATGAGTATTAAACTAGCAATTAAAGATTGCGGCTAACTACATAACTAAATTTTGTAAATTGCTAGGAAAACCGTCCCAAAAATTGCAATTTTTAGACTTGTAGCAAATTATAGTCGACAATGACTCCCTAAAAAATAATAATCAAATTCATAAACGAAAAGAATATCAAATTCATAATTTATACTATACTTTATGCGTTGAGTTCAATCTGTGCATCTTTAAACCAAAAATAGTAAACAATGAAAGAGACCACGTTTTGTTATACACCAACCTACCTTCCTGTCTCAAAAACAATAAACAATGAAAGAGACCACGTTTTGTTATACAACAACCTACCAACCTTCCTGTCTCAAGAGTGAAGACGCACGTTTAGGACTTAATAATGCACTTTCCACTATTACTTTATATTCGTAATTAAGAATTTTATATATTCATCCTCCTTCTATAAAGTACTCTGTTTCGTGTTGTGTTTCACTGTAGCACAGAAGCAGAAAACACAATGGCGACTTCTCTGCAATTTCTAAACCCTACACTCTTCAAATCCTTAGCTCCCTCAAACAAAACCTCCTCATCTCTCTCGCCATCTCCTTTATTTCGACTCAATTCCACCTCCACAGCTTTCAATTTCAGACCACTTACTTCCTCCTCCTCCTCTTCATCGGCAGCGATCATCACACGCGCCGCCGCATCTTCCTCTGGATCAGGCGAGTCACTAACAAGAGAGACATTTCACGGCCTCTGCTTCGTCTTGAAAGACAACATCGACACAGATCAGATCATCCCCGCGGAGTACACCACCCTCATCCCTTCGGTTCCAGAAGACCGCGAGAAGCTCGGCTCTTTCGCGCTTTGCGGCTTACCAGAGTTCTACAACGATCGTTTCGTAGTGCCAGGAGAGATGAAGTCAAAGTACTCAGTCATCATCGGCGGGGATAATTTCGGCTGCGGATCATCCCGTGAACACGCTCCGGTCTGCCTCGGTGCGGCGGGAGCTAAAGCCGTGGTGGCGGAATCTTACGCTAGGATCTTCTTCAGGAACAGTGTAGCTACAGGTGAGATCTACCCGTTGGAATCGGAGGTTAGGATTTGCGACGAGTGTAAAACAGGGGATGTTGTTACCGTAGAGCACAAGGAAGACGGTAGTAGTTTGCTGATCAACCATACGACCAGGAAAGAATACAAACTGAAACCACTCGGTGACGCAGGTCCCGTGATCGACGAAGGAGGAATCTTCGCTTATTCCAGAAAAGCCGGCATGATTCCTGCTGCGTCCTCTGCTTGAATGAATAATATTTAAAAATTCGGATCCGCTATTTCTTGCTATTCGGTTTGGTTTTCATTGGTTCGATAACCGGCACTAACCAAATAAATTATAGAGAACCAATCTCGAAACCCAGAATAATTCCTTTTCTTCCACAGTTTGGCTTTGTCTGCCACGTGGAAACAGCGCATGAAGTTACTAGACCCTTCGTTTTCTTTTTCTGTTTTTTTTCCTTTCACTTAATGTTTCAGTTTCTTTAGATACATTTGCATGTCCTCTCGAACTCAAAGTTTAAGGTTTATTCAATTATTCTTCTGCTGTTCTGCCTTTCTCATCTGTAGCAAGGTTTGTGTCGAAGATTTCTGATCTCATTTCAATTGTAATTTGCTTCTTATCTTATATATTCACTGTTCGTTGTATTTTTTTTTTTTTTTTCTGTTTCTAAGTTAAGTGTGTTTATAATTATCTCCACTTTGAAACTCTGTTTCTTGTTTGTATACTTTTTTTGCAGTGGTTTGAATGTAAAGTTGAAATTGTGGTTTGAAATCTCCGTTGGAATTAGTACTTGAGTAGTAAAAAGGGGTTTTCTAGGGTTTGACAAAGAGGATGGACAGGATTAGTAGTCTACCTGATGAGATCATTTGCCACATTGTATCATCCCTTTCTGCGAAAGAGGCTGCTTTCGCATCTGTTCTGTCAAAGAGGTGGCAGAATCTCTTTACCATTGTAGAAAAACTTGTGTTTGCTAACTCAGTTCAGAATCAAGGGAGTTTAATGGATTTTGCCGATGGAGTATTGGCTCTGCCGGCTAGTTCTCGCGTTAGGAGTTCTTCTCTAAAATTTCTAAGAAGTGTTCATCCAACTCATTATGATGATTTAAATCGTTGTCTATGTGCTTTGCTGAAGCGTGGTATCTTGGATCTTAACCTAGACATGTATGCTGGGAGACGATATTCATTACCTTTTGAGGTTTTCACTAGCAAAACACTAGTTAAGCTTGAACTAGGTTGTGATTTTGGTGGTTTTGTTGTTGATAATCTCCCTGAGAATGTTTTTCTACCAGCGCTTGAGACCCTCGTCCTTAGCTATATCCGGTTCAAAGATCACCGTGGTTATGCGTTTGAGAAGCTTCTTTCTGCTTGCCTTGTCCTCAAGGAATTAGTCTTATATAATATGGAGTGGGAACGTTGGAAATGGTCTGGTAACCTAACGAGTCCAACCCTTCAAAGACTTATTATTACTCATGGAGATTTCTATCAGTGTGATTTTACGACAATAAATTTAATCACTCCCAGTCTCGCCTATCTAGACTTGTATGATATTGTTCCTGATGACTATCCAGTTGTTAACCTTGACTCCCTTGTCGAAGCTAAGCTTGATCTTATGTTGACGGTAGATCACAACTACAATGGACTTGTTGATGACTACGAAACTATCTCTAGCAATCCAACAAATCTGATCAAGGGGTTAAGAAATGTCAAAATCCTGAACTTAGCATCTCCCAACACTTTTCAGGTTAGTGTGTGCCATTTGTTTCTTATTTCTATGTAACATGTTTCTCTTTTGCTCCAAATATTTACATATGTATAAATGACTAGTTAATTTAATTTGGTTTCAGGCCTTTTCTTACTTCTATGAAGCAATCCCTGTGTTTAAAAACCTCTATCATCTAACCATTACATGTGATGATAATGAATTCTGCTGGGAATTTCTTCCATCTTTGCTTAAAAATAGTCCAAAACTGGAGACCCTTGTCATCAGTGTATGATTCAAAACCCCAAAAAGTTTATTGGAAACTTGCAAAACCTTGTAAGTTCCAGTTTTTAATTGTCTCTCTCTTGCTTCAGGGTCCATTGCACTATAATGAAGAACGACCTGAATCTGTTTGCGAGTGCTTGTCGGGATATTCTTTCTTATTGTCATGTCCTCTAGAGGTCCTAGAGATAACCGACTACTGTGGAACTACTGGAGAGGTGGAGCAATTGAAGTATTTTGTAGAGAAACTGTCCTGTCTTAAGTTGGTGAAACTTCATTCTCGGAAAAGACATGGTGGCGACAGGAAAAAGTTATTAATGCTTCCTAGAGCTTCGTCCAAGTGCAAGATCAACGTCACTTTTTCTTAAAATCTACCAAACTTACAAGCATGAAGAAGAACAAACTTTGGTCCTCCTAGTTACATCTGTCTGTTTTATCATGAACTGGATTGTGGTTTGTGGAGCACTCTTGCAGTCTTGCTCACATACATATCCTTTGTTTATCTTTTTGTCGGAGTCTCCTTGTTCCCTGGAGGCTGTTTTGATCATGTGTAGGTTGCTTTGATGTATTTTTAGTCTGTCTAAACTGATCGTATGATGGATGCCTTCAGTTGTTGAACGTTGGATAATATTTTGTATAATTAATCAGGTGTAATTAATCAGGTGTAATTATAAAAACCTAAAATCTTTTTTGGTAGGAATTTCTTTTGATTTCTTACTTCTTACACAAGATATCAATTTCTAGTGGGATTGTGAATTCAGTATCCTTATTTGCTTAGGATTTAATTGTAGACGTGAGATCAAATTTCGTTTTATTTCCAAACTAATTGTAGTTAATTACTGTATGTTTATGTTATCCGTAAATTATGCGTCCTTCTCCGTGTCTTATTGGGTATCGGCTATTATTACTATGTATATATATACTACCAGGCTTCTCCTTAGACTTCACCTCTGTTCCCACGTACTCTTCTCTTCTGCTTCCTTTGTTGTACTTCCATCAAAATTGTGAGCATCAATTGTTTTAAGTAGCTCGAGCTCAAATATTATCTGTTTTGCAACTTATTTTTTCTTTTGCTCTGTTGTAATGTCCATTTAAGAAAAGAAAAAAGATCAGTATATACATTCACTTGGAAGTTGGAATTATATTTTGTTTCCAGAAAATCATAATAATGTGACGTTTCTCTGTTTGTTGATATTGTAATGGGCGATACTTTTTGTGGTTGAAAGCTCCATTTAAATTAAGTGAGATGGATAGGATCAACAATCTACCTCATGAGATCATTTGCCATATCGTGTCCTTCCTCTCGGCAAAGGAGGCTGCTTTCGCATCGGTTCTCTCAAAAAGGTGGCGGGATCTGTTTACCATCATATCAAATGTTGAGTTCAATGACTCAGTTATGACTCCAAGGAGTCGTCTGTCGGATTTCTTGAATAGAGTATTGGCTCTGCCTCTCAGTTCACGCATAAGGAACTTCTCTTTAACATGTCGTGTTCGTCGAACTCATTATGCTCTTGTCAACCGTTGTCTCTGTAATGTGCTGAAGCGTGGTGTCTTGGACGTTAAACTAAACATAAAGGTTGGAAAAGGATATCGCTCACTACCTTCTGAGGTCTTCACTTGCAAGACGGTTGTTAGCCTTAAACTTGGGACTGGTTTTGATATTGATGTTTTCCCTGAGAATGCTCTTCTTCCATCGCTGAAGACTCTCGTTCTTGATTCAGTTAAGTTCTATGATCGCTGTTGTGGTTGTGCATTCCAAAAGCTTCTTTCTGCTTGCCCTGTGCTTGTGGAATTAGTGATGCGTGAGCTGGAATGGGAACTTTGGGAATGGTCTAGTTGTGTGTCCAGTCCGACCCTCGAGAGACTTACTATTAGCCATAATTTGGCCTTGGGTGCGAACGATTTGGAGAGCATTACTTTTGATATTCCGAGTCTTACCTATTTAGACTACGGTGATTTCATTCCGGGAGAATATCCAATTGTTAATCTTGACTCCGTTGTGGAAGCCAAGCTCAGTCTTGTTTTGACAGTTGATCACGTCTGGATGGGAAATTATATAAGATATGATGATAACATTACAAGCGATCCAACCAATCTGATCAAGGGATTAAAAAATGTTGAGATATTAAACTTATCGATTCCTGAGACTATGGAGGTAAGTGTGCTTTATTGTTTTGTTATTTGTTACATAGAAAATTCTAAAAGAGTTTAGTTGAGGTTTTATTAGTGTTGTTGTTGTTGTTGTGTTTCAGGCGTTTTACTTTTTCCGGGGAGCAATACCAGTATTTAATAAACTGCATCATCTATCTATTGCTACCAATAATGAATTCTGTTGGAAGGCTCTCCCATATCTGCTTAAGAGTGCTCCAAATCTAAAGACTCTCGTCATTCGAGTTTGTACCACTATCCTTGAAATACGTTCCTATAAATCTTTAATCTATCTAATCCTCTTTCTTATTTCAGGGTCCCCTGCACTATAATGTGAATTCAAAAGTATATGATGATAATATGTGGGAAGATGAGGATGATGATGATGATGATGATGAAGAGGAGGATTATAAACCTGTTTGTAAATGCTTGTCCGGATATGGTTTTCTATTGTCGTGTCCTGCGAAAGTTCTAGAGATCACCAATTACAGGGGAACTAAAGTAGAGTTGGAGCAAATGAAACATTTCCTGGAGAAATTAAAATGTCTTGAGCTTGTCAAAGCTGGTGTTTATGAAACAGATACCAAAGAAAAGTCTTATCTCAGCATCGATCTACTAAAACTTCCCAGATCATCACTCAAGTGCAAGATCCGGTTCGAGTTTGTTCCTCCTCCTTTCTTAATTTGGTAATGATGAATCTGTTATTTTCTTTTCTTGTGTGTAGTCTTTCTTTGCTTGTAGGTTACTCTTCAGAATTTTTATTGTTCTGAATTTATTTCTCCATTATATGAGCAACTTGGTTTGAATGAGTTGTACTCTTGTTAATGGTTTGAGTGGAGTTGCAAACTTTGGGTTAAAAACAAGGCTTTATAGCTCAAACCCGAAACGTCCACTCAGTGCGTCCACTGTTGGTTTAAGATGTACAAAAACGTTGCCGGAGAAAATACAAGACAGAGATTGCTCCTGCGAGTAATCTGTTGCGCACCAAATCAATCAGCTGCAAGCAACTGAAACCCTCCGACCATGAATCCTCCAAACGATGTTGTTGTTGTTGTTTTAAATTCGTAACAAAACCTAAACATTTTTTTTTTTATAAAAAAGATGATTGAGATATTTCCTTTTTTATAAGGTTTAGTATTGAGTAATTTCCTTTTCTTTTTTTCCCGTCAGAATAATTTCCTTTTTTTATAAGCCTATAACGTATAAAAAAGTAAATTTCCATTTTTTTTTGGTTAGAACAACCTAAACACCTCTGTTTATATATAGAAGTACCTTCGACATCTCTTGAGAAATAAACACAGACTCTAATGCCGTAGATTTATCGTTGATTCTCTCGTTGATGATTTTTGGAGATTGAAGAAGATTCAAAACATAACTAAACTAGGGCTGATGACCCAAACAAGAACAGCAACAACAATGGAAAAAACCTCTTCTTCATGTAAGTACAAACGATCATCTTCTCATCTTTTGTCTTCTAAACTCTCAGAATCGGTTGATGAATTAGCAGGGATATGGTGCAAGTGAGGATCGGAGGAGGACGTCCTTTGATTCCTTGACGTTTCTTTTTCAACTCTCTCATCTGATATGACTACCAAGTGAAGTATTAAAAAAATTAGGGTTTATTTAGGGTTTTCAACGAGGCTCTTTCTATAGAATTACAAATTAACATACGGTGCTTCTTCTAATTCTAATGTACAGATCGGGGAGATATGAAATTCCATGACATAAATTATATAGTGATTGATGGCTAGGGACTGAGATTCAGACAGCTAAAGCTTTTGCTTCAATCATCAACAGTCAACACAATCACTCAGTAAGTCTGCTGCAATTTTCCCAATTAAGTGGAGACTGATATTTTCTATGGTTTTGTTGTTGATGCTTCTCTAGATGGATATATATACACCAACAGATGGTCAAAATCCTCTTCTTGATCTGTAAGTTATCTCAAAATCCTCTGTTTTTTCGTTTTTTTGTTTGGTTCTGTTTCTAAGTTTATAATTTATTCCTCAACCAATACAGAAGTAGAAGTCGAGATGGCACCAAAATATTCAAAGCAAAACCTATGAACAAAAAGGAAGGTACTTGTCAATGATTCATGCCAGCAATTCCCTTCCACAGGTAACATAACAACTGAAACTATTTGATTCCTTTTATTAGGAGTTAAAAAGCAGAATACCTCTCTCTTGACTTTTCTTGCTGGCCTAAAGAGGAACAAAGAATTCAGACATCCTTGGCTAAAAGTTTTAGTTTAAAACCATCTTTTTTTTTTGTCATCAAATAAAAGTTTAAAACCATCAAGATTCATATTTATGCTATTCTGATTGTAAATTTCTCACACATGATTTTTATTGCACAATTAAAAGGCGTCTTGATGTTCAATTAGGAAAACAACCTTTGAGATTGTCAAACAGATAATGTAATGTCTAAAATGGTTTTTCATGGTCTCCTTACAGGTATTTTCTCTGTGCTGGTGTCCAACAACCTCAAACTGTTACATTACATATCAGGACTTACCCCTGAGTGTCGAGAATGGCAAGCAATGTCTTTGACAACTCATTTGTGTCAGACAGAGATAATCTATTAATGTGATTAACATTTGTCTGAAGGATGTACATAATCTGATTAATGGGTCCAAACCAAACCGATTCAGGCCAGGGAATTAGAACCAAAACCAAACCGAACCAGAAAACAAAACGACACCGTGTCCATGCATCGATATCTGACTTGAGCAATCTCGCCGTGATAAAGGGTTAGTTACAATACGAACCCTATTCCTCACTGGCGTTTATGGCATGGCAGAGGAAGGAAGCATCGGAATAGGAGAAACCGAAGAAGAAGCGCCAGCGATCGACGATTTCTCCTGCAGCCACCACCAGATCTCTGCCCTTTGACGAAGAAGCTGATTGGAACAATTATCGTGGCTGGATTCGATGGGGAAAGGCCCACTATCCTTTCGCCGTCTTTCGAGCATCCGTCACCGGAAGAAAGGTTCTGCGGTTAAGGATGAAGCTGCTCATACATCGGCGCCTTCGTCTCCGCCGCCGCCTCCACCGATTAATGCAGGCGGACCGATTGCGGGAGGGACGGGGAAGGCGAAGAAGAAAACCGGAGGAGCTAGGCTGTGGATGAGGTTTGATCGCACTGGTGCGATGGAAGTGGTGGAGTGCGATAAGAGTACAATCATCAAACGTGCTTCTGTTCCCGCTAGGGATTTGAGGATTCTTGGCCCTGTCTTCTCTCACTCTTCTAACATTCTCGGTATATATATTTCGATTTGCTTTTTATTGGACTCTACACGAATTAGGTGTTTGGATATGATCATATTACATGTTTCTCTTTAAGTGTTTCTGAAGCTCTAAGCTTGTGCTTTTCTTTTGCTCAAAATTTAGTAATCAATCAATCTTTTGCTCTGTAGCTAGGGAGAAAGCTATTGTTGTGAATTTAGAGGTCATAAAGGCAATAGTTACTGCAGAAGAAGTGCTTCTGTTGGATCCTCTTCGACCAGAAGTTCTTCCACTCGTTGAACGATTAAAGCAACAGTTTCCTCAGAGGAATGGGACTGAAAATGCTCTGCAAGCTTCTGCGAATGTACAGTCTCCTCTTGATCCAGAAGCTGCAGAGGGTTTGCAAAGTGAGCTTCCTTTTGAATTTCAGGTCCTGGAGATTGCACTCGAGGTTGTCTGCTCGTTTGTTGATCGCAGCGTGGCTGCTCTTGAGACAGAAGCTTGGCCTGTCCTTGATGAACTCACTAAAAATGTCAGCACCGAGAATCTTGAATATGTACGAAGTTTAAAAAGTAATCTCACCCGCTTGCTAGCCCGTGTACAAAAGGTAGAGGCTAAATAATTGACCTTTTTCCCATGATGCTATATTGCTGTGTGATGGATGGAAACATTAAGCTGTTGTACGTTATTCAGGTGAGAGATGAGCTCGAACATTTGTTAGATGATAACGAAGACATGGCAGATTTATACTTGACAAGGAAGTGGATCCAGAACCAGCAAACCGAGGCGATACTTGCAGGGACAGCATCAAACAGCATTGTCCCCCCACCGCATAACACATCAAATCTTCACCGGCTCACTTCAAACAGAAGCGCCAGTATGGTGACGAGCAATACAGAGGAAGACGATGTGGAGGATCTGGAGATGTTGCTGGAGGCATACTTCATGCAACTGGAAGGAATGCGGAACAAGATTCTTACAGTGAGGGAGTATATTGACGACACAGAAGACTACGTGAATATACAACTGGATAATCAACGTAACGAATTGATCCAGCTGCAGCTGACACTGACCATAGCCTCGTTTGCAATAGCCGCAGAGACATTGTTGGCAAGCTTGTTCGGGATGAACATACATTGTCCATTGTATTCCATAAATGGCATCTTTGGCTACGTTGTGTGGAGTGTTACTGCGCTTTGCATTGTGCTATTCATGGTCACCCTTGGTTACGCCAGGTGGAAGAAGCTGCTAGGCTCATAATCTCTCTCTCTCTCTCTCTCTCTCTCTCTTACAAACCATGTGCCACTTGTGTAATAAAAAAAGGGAACTCACACATGGTTAATACATGATAAAGTTGTTTCACTCAAATCGTGTCCAGTGAAGAGGTTAGAGATTCATGTTTCTGAAGAGAATGATACAAGAGTTAGAGTATATATGCTAAACAGAATGGCCCTTAGACCTCGAAGTCTCTAAAAAGTTGGAAGTAATTATGTAGAGATATAAGTCTTTAATATGTTCGAAGGCTACGACAAGTTTGCTTCCTTCTCTGAATTTGCTTCCTTCTCTGAATTCTCTTTATCTCTCCCTATCTGTTTCTAAAGTTTGGGTCAGGATCAGATACTGTGCAAGTGTGCATTGGCCGAATGATATGCTCTGTTCCTTAAAGGCTTAAACAAAGATTCATCATCTTCTTTTGGGACTGCCTTCAGTTGTGGAACGTTTAAGTTTATGGGATGATTTGTTTTGGTTCGAGTTTTCTGGTTCTTAAAACTAGTCCAATTAAACTAACTGACTAACTGACTACGGTTGGTCTGAAGTTGCCACTAAATCACGCCTGGATCAGCCAATATGCACGTCATGGTGATATTATAAGCGATATAATCAATCTGATTAAGGGGTTAAGTAATGTTAAGACCATGAACTTATCCTGTACTGACACTACGGGGGTAAGTGCTTTATTGTTTTCTTATTTGCTATTTCGCCTTGAAAACAACTTATACGAGAGCCATGTATGATGATATGTAGGAAACGACGTACGTACTGAGGCCTTATTGTTTCACTTCCCGGGAATCAAAATCTTGTTAGTGTTTCTTGATGTTTTGATTTTTAAGTATGTATGTGTTTCAGGCGTTTTACTTCTCACGTGAAGCATTGCCAGAGTTTAAAAATCTGCATTGTTTATCTATTGCAACTGAGCGTAAAGTGTGTTGGGGAACTCTGCCACATCTGCTAAACAAGTCTCCAAATCTAAAGACTCTCATCATTGAGGTATGGACGACCACAAAACATTTCAGGTATACCACACCCTAAAGTCACTAGTCTCTAATTCTCCTTCTTGGTATAGGGTCCTGTGCACTACAATTATCATATGGGTGATGGTTATGAGTCTGATGAGGTGAACTATGATGATGATGAGGAGTCGGAGTCTGACGATGATGAATCTATTTGTGAGTGCTTGTCGGACTATTCTTTCCTAGAGTCATGTCAGGTGAAAGTCCTAGAGATAACCGAGTACAGGGGAACTAGAAGAGAGTTGGAGCACATGAAACATATCTTGGAGAAATTGGCATCTCTTGAGCTCGTCAAAATATGTTCTAATGAAACAGACGATGAGGAACAGCTTCAACTCAGAACCAATCTGTTAAATCTTCCTAGATCGTCTAAGTGCAAGATCCAGTTTGAGTTTATTCCTCCTGGTAGCTCCTTTGAGCAGGCCATGTTTTGTTTTTCTATTAGATTGGATTGTGTTTCTAGGATTTTGTTCTCTTTTTGACGTTTTTACTCTAAATTGACAAAGGTTAACAAGAGTCAATCAACAACTACAACAGAACTCAACTTAACCCACAAAAGTTTATATAACTTTGATTATATAACTCTATATCAGTAAATGTGCTAAAGTTGAAGCTCATTCCTAAACATCTACCGGTCGTTTAAGATGAACATTCGTTGAGATGTATAATGGGGGGGACTAGTTAAAATGTAAAATATGTATGAAGAAGATTGATGAGCATGTTTTGGTGTTAACACAAAACGTTCATGTTTTGGTGTTAACACAAAACGTTCCGTTTTGCGTAAGAGTAATACACCGAGTACAGGAATAATTGTAAAACCGGGCGTATTTTTGGTTTAAATTATTTCGACGAACATTAGTTCCTGCCTCGGGAAATGTTCTACCAGTGGGACGCTAGTCGAGCTGAAATTAAGACCATCCTCATTGGGGGTATCTTAGGAGGCTAAGATACCCCCACTTTTTCAAAGAAAGTATGTTATATAAGGATTTTCTTTGGAAAAGTGGGGGTATCTTAGCCTCCTAAAATACCCCCAATGAGGATGCCCTAAGAGTTTCGTTGGGTGTTATCTGGTGGGATAGACTAGGTTCTGTCTTACCAATGCTTAAGACTCTCATCCTTGACTTAGCTTTGATATGGTATATGGACTTGTTGTGATATTGAGCTGTTTCTTCCTAGTTTCCCTGTTCTTGAGGAATTATTTTCATGAGTGGATAGATTGGGATGAAATGGTGTCTAGTGCAAGCCTCAGGAAGATAAGAAGTCTACTTGGAAGAAAACTTTAGCTCATAGATCGGTCAAAGTCTCCTTTGGATTCTGTTTAGAAGCCTATATTGATGGGACATCATTTTATTCAGATATTTGTTGCTTCTTTTGCTATTCATTGGACAAGTTTGCTTTCTTCTCCCCATAGGGCGGTTTCTCTGGAATTTTAAAACACAACGCTTAAGAAGACGAAAAATGGGTTGTTTTAAATCCACATCAAACCCAGTAATTACCCGCTGGGCATCTACATGGGCCTGACTTATTCCACCATAGTTTCGCAGCCCAAACTCAAGCAGTCCCGGTTTGTCTACCTAATTAAACCAGAACCATCCTAGCTTCTCCGATGCCTTGTCTTGTCGAACTGAAAGTCTTGAGACTTTTTCCTCCGCCTGTCGCTGAATATTTTTTTTGTCTTTTTAATATATGATTATATTCTCTTCTCACCGTCCCAACTCCCACTCTCTCTTCTCACTGGACGCATTCACGAAATCCCCAAAATCTGGATCTTCGATTAAGTCTGTATCGAGGTAAAATTCAGAAGTTGTACTCATCATCTCCTCTGATTTACTAAATCTGTTCTGTGTTCTCTTTTGGGTGTTCAAAGTTTTTCTTTGGGTGGATTCGTATTTGCGCTGTGAACTGACTGATTTATCCCTGTTCCCATTTCTCCTCTTTTGGGAAATGGTTGTTAAATTTCATGTTTCATCTGTTTATAGGTTCCCGATTGCTTGATATTACCTTTACTGTTAAACCTTCCTCTAAGTTATACACAAGATGTAATAATGTACTTTTGAATTTCTTGTATAGAAGATGGATCGTGTCAGCAATCTACCAGACGAGATTCGATGTCATATCTTGTCCTTCCTTCCCACCAAGCACACTGCTGTGACTTCGGTTCTCTCAAAGAGCTGGCGAAACCTGTGGAAACTTATCCCTAATCTTGACATTGATGACTCTGAATTTCTTCATCCTGAAGATGGTAAAGGGGAAAGGAAGGATATTCGAGAGAGCTTCGTTAGTTTCGTGGACAGTGTACTGGCTACGCAGGGTGATTCTCCCATTGATAAATTCTCCCTCAAGTGTATAACTGGTGTTCATCCAGATTCTGTGAATCGTTGGATATGTAATGTGCTGCAGCGTGGTGTTTCGGATCTTAATCTTTTCACTGATTTTACCTACGAGGATACCGAAGAGGATGATTACAGGCTACCTCTAGAGATGTTTGTCAGTAAGACACTGGTTAAGCTGAAATTAAGAAGTGAACACTGTGTTAATTGGTGGTATTGGGAGATGGGGGCTTCCTTATCGATGCTTAAAAGTCTTTACATTGACTCGGAGTTGATTTTTTGTGGTGAGATGGAGAGCTTTCTTCCTTCTTTCCCTGCGCTTGAGGAATTACGAATGGCTAATATGGAGTGGAGTGAGTTGGATGAAACCATGTCAAGTGCAAGCCTCAAGAAGCTAAGTATCCACGGCACTGGTTGTGAAGAGTTTGAAAATCCAAAGACCATTTCTTTTCATACTCCAAATCTGCTTTACTTAAACTACTCTGATTTAGTCGCAGAGGATTATCCAGTAGTTAATATGGGAAAGTTAGTTGAAGCTCGAATCAATCTTATTGTGAAAAACGAAGATCAGATCAAGCGGGTAAGAGAGCCAGATTATGACTTATTAGAGGATGATGAGGGTGATGTTGTTCTTCAATTTGTCAATGTGGTGAAGCTCATTAAGGGCATACAAAATATTCAGGAACTTTACTTAACTTCTGATACTCTCGAGGTCAGTTTTATATTTTGTTTTCTCTGTTCTAGTTGTGAAACATTAATTGCAAACTATCTAGTCGGGTTTTATTTCTTGTTTTCAGCTACTTACTCTATGCTGTGAATCAATGCCGGTGTTCAACAACCTCAAAATCTTAGGTCTTAAGAGTGACGAGGGTCGTGGTTGGCAAGCAGTGCCAGCTCTTCTGAGAAACTGTCCACATCTAGAATGTCTGTTCATTGAGGTCTAACTATAAACCATGGAACTACTTGACAAAACATTTGTTAAAGATGCTGGTCAGACTCAATAGTCTTTTTGTCTTCTTTATGATTTTAGGGTCTCTTACACTATGTGACAGATAAATGCCGGGATGCTTGTGACTGCATTTCTCGGGAAGACAAAGGTCGTTCGCTCATATCTTGTCCAGTGAAGAAGTTGCAAGTTAGAGGGTTTCGAGGAACAGTTAGAGAGAAAGAGATGATAAGGCATTTCTTGGAGTACTTCCCGTGTTTGGATGAGATGGAGATAGATGCCGAAAATAATGTTTCTACAAACTTTGAAGTACCTAGAATTTTAAAAATTGTTGCGTATAAGCTCCATGACGTGGTCTCGACGGAGATAGTTGGACATTGGCAGAGTTCTCTACAGTCTGGGGGTTGGTCCGAGACCCAGATGGATGAGATGTATTTTGAGGTATATTTTGATTACCGCTTTCAATTACAAAAATATCATTGCAGCCTTGAAATTACTGTCTTTTCTTTTCTACAGTTTGCTCCCCGCAATAAAGAGCGTATCTACGATATGGTCTTCATGATGCATAGAGCTTCTTCCCCGGTACCTCCTCCTCTGCCACAAGAGATGTCTCAGGATAACCTTCAAATGCAACTGGATGCTGCTAACGCCAAACTTGCGGATCTTAAGGAGAGGCAACGGGACCAGGACGCTGAGCTTGCGGGTTACGAAGCTAAGTTCGATATGATTGTCGACCAGAACCCAATGATAGCATCAGCGTTGAGGGCTCGACAAGCAACTGAAGCAGACGGGGAAAAGTCGCCGAGTGGTCAGGAAATGACAGAGAAGAAGCGGGACTATGAAGCTCTGTTCGATATCATTCTCGAGCAGAACCCAATGCTAGCATCAGCAATACGGGCTCGGCTTGCAACCGACTCAGAGCGAGCTGAGACATCCAGGGATCAGGAAATGACCGCGCAAGACCAAGCTAGGGCAGCAGATTTTACTCCTCCACAAGGAGAATAGATTTTAAATGTTTTATATATGCTTGAAATTCTACTAAATGCTTCCAATTTGGTTCGGTTTGTGTTTTATTTAGTTCGAATTCCGGCTCAAAATCTTGTAACGAAGCTGCTTGTGTAGAGATTCTTCCTCCTCTAAACTTTTGAGTATTGATATCTTGGCTTCTCTCTCGACTTTGCATCTGTACACTGTAGGTGCGGAAGCCAACGGTTCTACTCTGTGTCTGCTGAATTTAATACTATAGTTGGTTACAACTGACAAGTAATAATGTGATTTGATTGGTTCGGTTTGCATATAACTACCACGGTAAAACAAAACCAATTCAGGCCAGCTTTACGATTCTCTGCTATAACTCTTCTGACAAATTTTGCCACTGGGCTTCTACACTTGGGCTTAAGTAGTTCTACCATACTTCCCCGCAGCCCAAAGCCGAACAATCCCGGTTTGTTTACCGAAGTAAACCGGTGATATCTTTTAAGACCCGGATCAAATAGAACCAACAGGCACCCTTCATTTTTTAAAACCCTCAATTTCGTTTTGTCATCTATTCCTCTTAAAGGTGGATGCTACTCCGATGCATTTGCATGCATAGTCGAACACAAAGAGTCTGTAACTTTGCCCTCTACCATAGTATCCGGTGACTTAGTTCTCCCAAATCTCTCTCTCTCTCTCTTATCACTGGACTCATTCACTGAATTCACCAAAATTTGGATTAAGCATTCGTCGCGAGGTAAATGCTCAAGTTTATCATCTCCTCTGCTTCTACTGATTTCTGTTCTCCTTCTCTTTTGTGTGTTTCTTGTTTTAATTTTTGTTTCTCCGGGTGGATTCCTATTTGCGTTGTGATTTGTGAACTAGGTTTTTTCTCTGCTCCCATCTCTCCTCTTCTCTCATATTTTGGGGGAAAGTTGTCAAATTTCACATTTTGCATTACTGTTAGACCTTCCTTCTGGTTGTAGATGTAATAATGTACTTTTAATATCGTTGCAGAGAATATGGATCGTATCAGCAATCTACCAGACGACGTTCGTTGTCATATCTTGTCCTTCCTTCCCACCAAGCAGGTTGCTATGACTTCGGTTCTCTCAAAGAGCTGGCTCAATCTGTGGAAACGTGTCCCTAATCTTGACATTAATGATTCTGAGTTTCTTCATCCGGAAGAGGGTAAAGGTGAAAGGGAGAATATTCGAGAGAGCTTCGTTAGTTTCGTGGACAGTGTACTGGCTACGCAGGGTGATTCTCCCATTGATAAATTCTCCCTCAAGTGTATAACTGGTGTTCATCCAGATTCTGTGAATCGTTGGATATGTAATGTGCTGCAGCGTGGTGTTTCGGATCTTAACCTTTTCACTGATTTTACTGACAAGGATACCGAAGAGAATGATTACAGGCTGCCTCTAGAGATGTTCGTCAGTAAGAAACTGGTTAAGCTGAAATTGAGAAGCGAACGCTGTGTTAACTGGTGGCATTTAGATATCGGCGCTTCCTTACCAAAGCTTAAAAGTCTTTTAATTGACTCGGACTTGATTTTTTGTGGTGAGATGGAGAGATTTCTTCCTTATTTCCCTGTGCTTGAGGAAATTCACATGGCTAATATGGAGTGGCAGGAGTCTAAGGAAACCATGTCAAGTCCAAGCCTCACGAAGCTAAGCATCCACGGCACTGGTTGTGAAGACTTTGAAAATCCAAAGAGCATTTCTTTTGATACTCCAAGTCTGCTTTACCTAAACTACTCTGATTTAGTTGCGGAGGATTATCCAGTTGTTAATATGGGGAAGTTAGTTGAGGCTCGACTCAATCTCATATTACAATGTGAAGATCAGATCAGGCGGGTAAGAGAGCCAAATAATGTTTTCTTAGAGGATGATGAAGGTGATGTTGCTCTCCAATTTGTCAATGTGGTGAAGCTCATGAACGGCATACAAAATATTCAGAAACTTTCCTTAACTGCTGATACTCTCGAGGTCAGTTTTATATTTTGTTCTATCTGGTCTAGTTGTGAAAGAATAATTGCAAAGTATCTAGCTAGGTTTTCTTTTCTTGTTTTCAGGTTCTTACTCTGTGCTGTGAATCCTTGCCGGTGTTCAAAAACCTCAAAATCTTAGGTCTTAAGAGTGATGAGGGTCGCGGTTGGCAAGCAGTGCCCGCTCTTCTGAGAAACTGTCCAAATCTAAAATTTCTAGTCTTTGAGGTCAATTATTAACCATGAAACCACTTGAAACCACATTTGTTAAAGATGTTGGTCAGACTCAATGACCATATTGTCTTCTTTATGCTTTCAGGGTCTCTTACACTATGTGACAGATAAATGTGGGGATGCTTGTGACTGCATTGCTCGGGTAGACAAAGGTCGTTCGCTCATATCTTGTCCAGTGAAGAAGGTTGAGATTCAAGGGTTTAGAGGAACAATGAGAGAGATAAATATGATTGGGCACATCTTGAAGTCTTTTAAGTGCGTAGAGGAGATGGGGATATTTGCTGAAGAAAATGGTCCTACAAAATTCGAACAACCTGGAGTGTTTGAATATGTTGAGAAGATATTGGATCTCTACAATGAGATATCGAGTTGTGATGTTTACTTCCTGGTGTGGGGTTTCATGCGCAGGAAATGGACTGCACAGTGAAGTCGACGAGTATGAAATTGTATTGATGGTTTTGCTAAACTCATGTTCTCTTTGATTTATTTCTGGAAAACTAAAAGTTGTCGACTGCATGTTTCCATAGCTGAACCTAAACAGAGTAGTTTTTTTTTTTCTTTTGTTCAACTAAAACAGAGTATAGTTAATTTGATGAATTGTGTCTGTTGTTGAAAAGCTGAAAAATTGATTTGTTACTTCGTTTCAGGGCTTTTATCAACAGAGTGTGCCAATGAGACGTAATCCTGATTTTAAATAAACTCAAACATAACATGAAAACAAAAATGACAAAGGTTTTGTAAGTATCCTTGATGATTCATCCACTTTGATCTTTGTCTTGAGCTTATAGGGATCTATGTTTAATTTCAAGGTAACTTGCTGCATCATCTTTAGCTTGGACTTGCTTCAGCTTAGAGATTCGATGGTTTGAAGGAATCAAGAGAGAGATGGAAATGATCAAGCATTTCTATGAATATTTCCCGTGCTTGAAGGAGAGGGATATCCATGTTAAAGATGGTCGTCCACGGGCCTTATCCCCTAGAGTGCCAGATTCTAACCCGTACAAGGTTTTATCGGGTCGCAATGTTAAAGTCAAGATGCACGGTTGTGGACTGCACAATGAAGTCGTGGAGGAAGAAAATCTTCAACTTATGCCAAAGTTGCTTTGAATTATTGTTTAAGAAGCTAAAAGGAGTACTCGACAGCTTATTTTACTTTTTTTTTTGGGGGCTAATAACGATGGTTTCTGTTTTTCTGGAGTTCTATACATGAACCGTTTGCATCAATTTATCTCTGCAATCTTTTGTAGCGAACTCTGCCAAATCTTAAGTCTTAAAGACTCTCCACTTGAACGTATATGTAGTAAGCTAAAAATTTTGATAGTCCAATTGATCATATTCTTGATAATTCCTAAAGACGTACGTTTGAACTTTGAAGAACCACTTAATAAAACGCCGCGTTTTCATCTGCTTAACAATGTAGGCACGTAAAGCAAAACTAAAACCTAATTTTCACAGCGACTCCTCTCTTCACTTTGGCAAACCCTAATAAATCTACTTTTTTGGCTTCCCTCCCAATTTCATCCTATCGGAATTTACACATATCCTCCGTTCCATGGGCCGTAGGTGTAGGACTTCCCGATCGCGACTAGTCCGAGGTAAACGCCTAAGCGAATTCATATTTTCAAATGTTCATGTTCGGATTGTTAAGTTTTGGAGTTTTTTTTTTTTTAATGTGTAATTTATATGTACTCTCTCTATTCTATTCTCATGCAGGGAAGATGGATCGTGTTAGTAGTCTACCAGACGATCTTATTTTGAATGTAATGTCCTTCCTTACCACGAAGGAAGCTGCTTCGACATCGATTCTCTCGAAGAGGTGGCGCTATCTATTTGCATATGTCCGAGCTCTCGATATTGATAACTCTGTCTTTCTTCATCCTGAAGAGAATAAACGGGAAAGGAAAGGGATTCGACAGAGCTTTATGGATTTTGTGGATAGAGTATTGGCTTTGCAGGGTGATTCTCCAATAGACAAGTTCTCCCTCAGGTGTGAAACCGGTGTTGATTCAGATCGTGTGCATCAGTGGATATGTAATGTGCTGCAGCGTGGCGTTTTAGACATTAATCTGTCCATCGATTTGGGGGAAATCGGATACCTGCTCGTCCAAACTTTCATTAGCACAAATCTAGTTGAGCTGAAAATAGCAAGTGGTTGCCATATTAATTTTCAGCCTGGGCACATATCCTTACCTGTGCTGAAGACTCTCACTCTTGTTGAACCTGTTTTCTCTGATAGTGGTCAGCTTCAGAGGCTGCTTTCTGCTTGCCCTGTGCTTGAGGCATTAGATTTGGCATCTGTTCATTGGTCGTATAGGAATGAGACCTTGTCAAGTGCAACCCTCAAGACTCTAACAATTGTCTCTGCGAAATCCTTAGAGGCCTTATCATTTGATACACCGAATCTTCTTTGTTTGAAGTACTCTGAGTTAGTTGCGCGGGACTTTCCGTTAGTCAATTTGGGAAACTTGGTTGAGGCTCATATCAAGCTTGATTGTAAACTCAGTCTACCAAGCTTCGGATCTAATGTGCCGAAGCTTTTTCGTGGCATATGCAGTGTTCAGAAGCTTTACTTATCTCCTGGAGCTCTCCAGGTCAGTATGCTGTTTTGTTCTGTCTCATAGGACCCCAACGAGTTAATCAGGCATTCTGATTAGGTTGAGGAACATTGGTTTTGAATTAAAGCACATGTCAAGGACTTCTGGGTGTTTAGTAGTTTTGAATAATAGAACAACACTTGAAATATGAATTGCAGCTGGTTAATGTTTCAGTTGGGACTTTTTAATTTGTACTTGTTTCAGGTGCTTGGTCGATCGTGTCAGGCAATTCCGGTGTTTAACAACCTCACACTCTTAGAGATTGAGAGTAGCAAGAATGTAGCGTGGCAAGCAATGCCGGTTCTCCTAAGAAACAGTCCACATTTAGAAACTCTAGTCATTAAGGTGAGAAATATAAACCATTAAAAGACTTGCAGAGATGCAGTTCATGACTGGAAAGCCCTAATGTCTTCTTTTTCTGCTTTTAGGGTGGTCTCGCACACAGTTTCACAAATGAATGCGGGGATGCTTGTAACTGCATTTCTCGGGAGGAGAAAGGTCGTTCGCTCGCATCTTGTCCAGTGAAGAGGTTAGAGATTCGAGGGTTTGAAGGAATGTTAAAAGATACGGAGATGATCAAGCACTTCTTGGACTATTTTCCCTGCTTGAAGATGATGGAGGTCTATGTTAAAGATGGTCGTCCACGACACCTAGCCCCTATAGCGTCGGATTCTTACAACCACTTATCGAGTCGCAATGTCAGAATCAAGGTGCACGACGATTCCTTGACATAGGTTGTGGACTGCACAATAAAGTCTTGGGAGGAAATTTTTAGTTTTTAGTTTTTTTTTTTTTTAATCTACAATACTTATGAAGCTTATAATAGGGAGAGTCAACTTGTTGGTTTGATGGCTTTTGCTACTAAAGATTAGTTTTGGTATTCGGTGGGAGTTGTATCAAACACGTTATGGCTGATGAACTTGATAGGATAAAGCGGCATGGACTTGATTATACAATCATCAATTAAATAACTCAAAACACATTCTACATGTATCATACTTGTGATCACACAACCATGTTAAATCTTAAATTACCTAAGGTAATTCCACTCACCTAAAAGGTAATATTGATCAATTTACGATATTTTATTGTGGCCATTTTATTGGGAGATTCGGTTATCCCGTGATTTAGGGATCCCCAATATCCATTGATTTTTTTTTTTTTTCGTCATCATTACAAATTATATATCTCTCTTTAAGAGGGACCGAACTCGAACCCGGATCTGGTGAGAAGGCAACAGAGGTGAGAACCACTAGCCCACTTGTCCTTCTCACCCATTGATTAATTTCAGCAATTGCGTATACATGATTTTATGCTATGATTTAGGGTTTTACGACCTCGAATACCAACCAACCGTACATGTATGTACGTCTTTATCACTTTGCGTCGAGTGGTTTCTTTGTTTGACCCAATTGACTCTGTTCTTTTTCTCTCTGTTTTGTAGATCCTAGAATACTACTGTTTACTTATCATGTATGTTTGTTCTTCCAGTTGCTTTGCTTAGGAGATTTGGTGTAGACTAGACAATGGGCTCGGATGAGAAGATGGATCTCTTCAACAAGTTACCGGACGAGGTTGTTTCTCGTATCCTGTCCTTACTTCCAACGAAGGAGGCCGCTTCAACGTCCGTTCTCGCAAAGAAGTGGCGTTATCTGTTTGCGTTTGTCCCTGATCTTGATTTCGATGACTCTGATTTTCTGCATCCCGAAGAGGGTAAACGGGAAAAGGACGGAGTTCTTCAGAGTTTTATGGCTTTTGTGGATAGGGTTTTAGCACTGCAGGGTGATTCTCCCATTAACAAGTTCTCCCTAAACGTTAAAACTGGTGTTGATCCTGCTCGTGTGGATCGATGGATATGTAATGTGTTGCGACGCGGTGTTTCTCACCTTTATCTATACATGGACTTTGAAGAAGAATACTCGCTGCCTTACCAGATATCTGTCAGTAAGACATTAGTTGAGCTGAATACAGGACATGGAGTTGATCTTTATTCGTGGGGAGATGACATGTTTTTACCTATGCTTAAGACTCTTATTCTTGAGTCTGTTTGGTTTGGTAGGGGTCAGTTTCAGACACTTCTTCCTGCTTGCCCTGTCCTTGAGGAATTAGCGTTGGTTGATATGGAGTGGAGAGATAGGGATGAGATCTTGTCAAGTCCAAGCCTCAAGAGGCTTAAGATTACCTCCGAAGACGGCTGTTTAGGCACTTTTTCGTTCGATACACCAAATCTTGTTTTCTTAGACTACTATGATTTGGTTGCGGAGGATTATCCAGTAGTAAACTTAAAAAGCTTAGACGAGGTTACGATCAGCCTTGCTCTTACTGCAGACCGAATCCACCAAGCAAGAGATAATGTTTGGAAGCTTTTTCATGGAATACGAAATGCTAAAACATATCACATATCCCCTGTTACTTTCGAGGTCAGTTCCCTATTCTCTTGTCTTTTGTAAACTCTTATTTGATCTCAACTGGTCTTTATAAGAAGGGAAGCCAAATGTTTTTGTCTCAATTATTAGTGGATCATAACAATGCCTCTTGATTCAGGTGCTTTCTCTTTGCTGTGGAACGATGCCGGTTTTTAAAAACCTTACCGTTTTAAATATTAGGAGTGTCATGCAGCAAGGATGGCAAGCAATGCCACTTCTTCTAAAGAACTGTCCACGTTTGGAAAGTCTATTCCTTGGGGTATTTTTAAAACACCAAACGACTTCTCTTTTAGTTTCCCTACTTATGACTTTTGAAATGGCTTATATGTATTGTCATCCTTTATGGTTTTTCAGGGACTATTGCACAATGTCACAGGGAAATGTGGGGATGTTTGTGACTGCATTTCTAGGAAGAAGAAAGGTAGGTCGCTCATGTCTTGTCCTGTGAAGAAAATACAGGTTCAAGGATTTAGAGGAACAATTAGAGAGACGCATATGATAAAGCATTTCTTGGACTATTGTCCGAATTTGGAGGAGATGGAGATAATTGTCGAAGAAAAGGAAGCTACTCTGTTTGAAATCCCTAAATGGCTTGAACTTGTCGAGGACACGCTGATGCACTACAACGAGATGTCGACTTGCACTGTTAATTTCAGGGTGCTCGCTCCTTTGTACTGGAGGTGGACTCGAAAATGAAGTCTTGGAGGTTGAAAACTTGCTTTCGTTGTTTCTCTTTTTAGTTTTTATTCTACTTTAAGTACGATTTGATTCATGTTCAATAATACGTTTTCACTATCTTTATATATTTAATGGGATAATACTATACGTTTACTGTAAATATTGCCATGTCTTGAATTGGTGATCGTATGTGCATGCTTCGGTAATTAGTAATTAACGAGAAGGAAATGTTTTGACTAACTACATAATTTACTCTCTTCGAGTAAGTAACACTCTTTGGACCATGACTCGATTTGGTTTCAAAATATATATCGTTTGTTTGAAACCTGTGTTGGTACAAAAACATCACCGACACAAACTGTTATGCCATGGACAAACAACTTTGTAGCCATACTTTACCTGGTGACAGATAGGATGAGAATATGCGATCATTGCACATGCACATCATGATGATCTTTATGATGAAATCACTTATGATGTTGATGATATATTCTCATGGCAGATCCGACGCATGTGGGCTGTGGCAGTGGGAAGCCCATGTCACGAGCATCACTTTGTTTTCTTCTTCCGGAGTCGATTAATGTTTCCATCAGAATCTGCACTATTTACTTCAAATCTCTTTTCACTAAACTACTAATATGTAATGTTTCCTGTATATGCAAAATATACGAGTGTATATAGCTTTTGTTTTGTTTATGTAAACTTAATTGAGAAAAAAACAACAATTTCGCATAAACAAAAAAATACAGCAACAATTCACATCTGAAGAATGAATACATCCAAACATGTTTCTCCTTGGGAATTAGTGATTTATGAGTGTCTAACAAAATCTTGTCCTGAACTTTTTATATTATTAACAAGAAAAATACTATATATTTTGTGAACTCAAGGCTCCATAGGGACAGTTTAAATCCTAACCAAATCACTGAGCACTTTGTCGCACGATCATCCATTTTTCTTTACCGAAAGCTAAGAGTTCAAAATTCAGTTTAATTAGGGAAAATATTAATTTTGTAATTATGATAAGACCAAAATATTTGTTATATATATATTATAGTATATATATATATATAGATATATTATAATATATGTTGATGATGCACAAAATTAAGAAAACAAACAGTAAGAAGTTACACAAAGAAGAAGAAGAAGATAATATTACACAAGCGTACTTTTACCGGAGCTTATATAAAAGACTGTGTGTTGATCGTGGAAGTTGGAGAAATATATAATAATACGAAGGAAGGAACAAATGCGATTCATGTTAGAGACAAAGTATGATGCAGAAAGGACCCACACCCATGTAACCATTGTCCCAAAAGATCAACCGTCGTATTTGGGTCTACTTGGTTGGCCCATTTCTTCTCAACCACAAAAATGAGAAGACAAAACATAATTTTTGCAACTAATAAAACCATAACATATACTATCACTTTGTTTTTGTCCTCTTCTTCGTCTATGTGGATCTCTTTCTTTTTTCTTCCCAAAGAAAACAAGACCAATTATCTCATCTCTCAACACCATTTCTTTCTCTTAAACAACGCACATTAACCAACCCCATTTGATGTGACTATATTAATTTACATGACCAGAAGAAAAAAAGAAAAAGAAAAGAGTTGTGGTTGAATAAATAAATGATTAACCAAGGCTAAAATTTACGTTTGTGTATACTATAAACTATCAAGATTTATATACACATATATTCTCTTATTATTATTAACCCATCACCAATATAATATAAATATTAGAACTGGGGGTAAGTGTCAGGTTGGTCGATGGTGAAAGAAACCGGTTCTGATAATCTCAATCCCAATAAACCAACCCCCCCCCCCCCACCCTCTTCTCCTATCCGTTCCCTCATTGGAAACATCACCTACTCCTCTCTATATGTACTGTATTTATACTTGTAATAGTGGATCATAACACTATAAAATGTTAAAGACTATATCGTTATTGCACTAAACTTAATTAAGATATTTATAAGTTTATAGTAGTAAATACCTTATACAATACGAACATCAACAAGAAAATAATGAGAAATATAGCCTTAACTATCATTTTTTTTTGTTTTAAGACGATGAACGTCTACAAGTGAATTGTGTAAAGGATTAATGCCGACACATGAGCACGACTTGTTTTATCTATCTTGTAGGAATTCTATATAATAAGGAATTCTTGGAAACCATGAAAAAAAAAAAGAGTTGACAAAAGATGAGCTAGAGGTTAGGTTCCATAAAAGATGTCACGTGGCTCCCATGCAAGATGTAAAAATCATGATCATGTGGAGGATATATCTTGCTTCTTCTTCTTCTCTCTACTGTATAGCAAACTGCAACTAGTTAAGTAGATCATCATAGTACCACCACCACTACCTCCACCACTTCGCTATCTACCAACTGTAGCTAGGTAGTATCTCTCTCTCTCTCTCTCTATCTCTCTCTATACATATAGGTAGCGTATAAGGAGAATGAATAGAGAGAGAGAGAGAGAGTGTTTAATATGTATGTGTGTGGGGAAGTAAAGAGGCACATGGAGCTAAGATAGATTGGGAGGAACTCTCATGTGAGAGCACATGTGCTTTCCTTTTCTCTTTTCCTTTTTTACGGAGCTTTTGTGGATCCCATCTCCCTCCCTCTCTCCCATGCAAACCTGGCACAGGTGAGACTGAGACTACTACTAGTTACCCATTTAACTCTCTCTTTTTATTTCAGTTGAAGCTTGAAACACTAATTGATTCCTTTCCTTAGCTTGTGTATAACTAAGATATAGATACACTGTGGGAATTAATTGTATACCCGTATACTGATTAAGATTTATACTATGTAAACTACTACCAATAAGGTTTGATGAGGACATATATCTTATATTAGATTTATTGGTTTTTAATCTCACATTCTCATAAGGTATACATACACAACCCTTATATATCTTATATCTCCAAAAAAACATCTGGGCTATATAAAGAATAATGGTTAAGCTAACTCTATTTCATATTCATTCACTTTTAGTTTTAAATCTGTAGATGATGAAGACTGAAGAGCATGCATGCTGTATTGCATTTGTCGTATGCATGCACAGTTAAGTAATTTTAGATATAAATCATTACGGTTTCCGAAAAGAAACGAAAACAAAGACCCACGAGTCAACGTCTGGATTAAGTTTAAAACACATGTCGATAAGTCTATATTATTACTAAACTAAGCACGTTACCATTTGTTAATGACACGCATTTTTCCAATTTTTTTTTGGAGTATTAAACTTTTCTGCTTTTTTAGAAAAAAAGAAAAGAAAAAAAAGAAAGATCCAATCTATCTATCTGTCAGGACCTCAGGGAGATCCACTTGAGTATAGTGACGTCTCCACTAAACCACACAGACACAGCGCGTGATTGTCACGGATCCAAATCTCTCTCCTTCTCTCTCTCTCTCTCTCTCTCTTTATAATTAACCAACAAAACAAACACTCCACATAATTCGAATACACAACACAACACAACGAACCAAAACATTAAAAAAGAAAAAAAAAAAATTGAAAATCACAACTGGACCCAGCTTTGAGATGTCATACCGGCATTACCCAATTTCGAAAAATTACAGCTAAACGCCTAAACCCAAAAGCTACATCTGAATTAAACCAACCAAATTAGTACCTAACGAAAGTCTTAAACCGAACACATTATGATTCAGCTCATAAGTCAAATCACAATTACGGAGAAAATCAGAGTAAACCGAACTTTTAAATACAAACCGGAATGATTGAACAGGTCCTATACTCTCACTAATTTTCCTATCACACATTCATATAAATACACACACATCTCTCTTACCCCTTTTCTTCCAACACATCCTCTCTCTCTCTCTCTCTCTCTCTCCCTCCGTCAATGGAGAAAACCCTAGCCTCTTCCCATACCAAACGCTCTTTGCCATCTCCATCCACCGCCGTGGACACAAGCTCCACCGGTTTCAACCGCAGAACCAGACAGAGATTGTCTGATGCAACGGCGAGTGTAATTAGCGAAGATGACGACGAAGACGAAGAAGAAGAAGAAGAAGAAGGTGTGGAAGAGAAGATCGAGGCGCTCCAGACAATAGTACCTGGAGGAACGTCTCTTGGTGTCGACGCCCTGTTCGAAGAGACAGCTAGCTACATTTTGGCTCTGCAATGTCAGATCAATGCCATTAAAGTTCTTACTTCGTTTATTGAGCGCTGCGAGAAAGATGATATGAAGTTTGGAGGTTGAAGATGATTGAACAAACATATTTGGGATTCTCTCTCTCTCTCTGTTTTTTCACTTATTTTCAGCTTATTTTTATTTCTTTCCTCTTTTTTTCCCTTCTTTTTTTTTACTGTGGCTTAGTTCGGGTTCATAATTTAGTTTTTTTTTCCTTTTTCCTTTTCTTTCTTTATATATTGTGTTTTAGTTCTAAATATTACGAACAAAGTTTGAAATTCGAAAACTATAGTATATAATAGCCAATTAGATTGATAGAGTTCATGTGAAAAATTAACGATAAATAGCGTGGAAGACATAATAAAGTCATAAAACTCATCACATGTTACGGAGAAAAGAAGACACTCATCGTCCAACGAAGACCAAAATAATAAAAATCTCTAAAAACGATTCTAGCAGATTTGGGCCTGATGGAGCAGACCAACAATGGTTCTAAGGCCCATATAAGAGAGATCGTTGAAATTGATGATGCTAAGTGGACTTGCTTTAAACACGTGGGCATTCAGAACCGGCCAATTTCTCAACTCCACTATAAACCCTAAAAATTGAACCGATTGGCCGATCCCTTCACCGGGAAATCTCATCCTTTTATCATATTTTCCCTGCCAAATCGGAAGGTAAACCCCTCTCAAGAGAATCCTCTTTCGTATATTTTCATCGGGATACTTGGGCTTTTGCCCGATATTTGAAATGTATTGATTTTGATGTTTTTGTTGCTGACAAAAAAAAAAAAGTCTAAGAGTGACTGATTCTCTAAAGCATCAGACTTTTTGATTGATTTTTTCCAATGCGTTGAGTTGTTCACGTTATCTGCGTCTTAATTCTGTGTTGAATTTTCTTTAGTAGCATCGTAAAATGGCGGATGAGGTGGTAATTCACAGCGATTCTGAAGATCGGGCGGCGAAGGGGATCTCTGCCTCCGATCCAGGCAGTGGTGAGACCAAGGAATTGGATAAATCGGAGATTAAGAACCAGGAACTTAAGAGAGAGAATCTCGAATTGAAGGAGAGGTTAGAGAGGCTTACGGGAGAGATTCAAGAGATGAAAGGTGTAGAAGCGGAGATGAATCAGAGATTCGAAGAAATGGAGAAAGAGATCGAGGAGTACGAGGAAGAGAAGAAGGCTCTGGAATCTATTTCTACGAGAGCTGTTGAGCTTGAAACTGAGGTGTCTAATCTTCAGGATGATTTGATCGCTTCCTTGAACGGCGTGGATAAGACTGCGGAAGAAGTGGCGGAGCTGAAGAAAGCCTTGGCAGAGAAAGTGGAGAAGCTGGAGGGCTGTGAGAAGGAAGCTGAGGGTTTAAGGAAAGATAGAGCTGAGGTTGAGAAGAGGGTTAGGGATTTGGAGAGGAAAATTGGGGTTTTGGAAGTGAGGGAAATGGAGGAGAAGAGTAAGAAAGTTAGACTAGAAGAGGAGATGAGGGAGAAAGCTGACGAGAAAGAGAGAGAGATTGATGAATTGCAGAAGAAAGTCGGTGTTCTGAATCTGGAATTGGTGAAGAACGGAGAGGAATTGGCGAAATGCAAATCTGAGAAGAAACTCACGGATGTAGCTTTGAGTGAAACTCAAAAACGAGAGAAGGAGATGGAGTTGAAGAAGGATGAGTTGCTGAAGAAGGTTAAGGAAGGTAATAAGACTGTTTTTGGGTTGAATGAGAGATCCATGAAGCCTAGTAATGGAGTCAGAGACACAAATGGTGGTCACCAAAAGGGTTCCATGGAAGCAGAGTTTCAGTGGCCAGTGGTTGCTGCTGGATCAGTTGGAGCTGCTGGTTTGGTTGCAGCAATCTTGTTCGTCTGCTATTCTAAGCTAAGGTGATGTTGATGAATGTGTAGTGGAAGAATAACTGAAGAACGAGTTCTTAAACTTTGATTCCAGGAATTGATTTATACAGGTTGGCTAAAAGTTTGTTTTTGGGTTTGGATTTTTGAGTTTGTGATGTTTGTTGATTGTTGGCTATCATGTTTTTGTTGATGGGATCAGCTTTGATTAAGCCACGCATATTGCAACTGTTCTTTATCACTTCTACTTTGTCTTATAGATTTACGTGAGCAGTGCTTCTTCTTTACCTCTAGTCCATGAGTGAGCACAGCCTTTTATATTAGTACCGATTTTGAAATGTTTCCTGGGAGAACATATTAAGGTTTGTGCTCTCTTGTTTTATCTCTGCCCGTTTGTTTGAAATTCATAGACTTCAAGATTTGCAACAGGAGATTACCAGAGTGAAGAAAGTCTTACATACAATTTAGGACAAGAGGGTGGCTCATGAGCATATTAAATTTTTTACATGCCATAAAATGTTGTTCAAAGACGGCCGATATAAGACAAGAGAGTGACACATGAGTAAAACATACAATTTTGACTTGAACATTCTTTGATTCATTTGGACAAAAGCAGTGGAAATTTGTTTTGGTTGATTAGCTTTGATTACTGTCCGTTTATATATTTAGGATATCAAAGCGTGTGGAGCAAAATAGAGTCATCATATTTTTCTAAAACAGCTCCAAGAAAATTGGAATTTGTCGATAAACAACTTACAACTACTTTGTTGGGTCAATAAAAGTGAAACAAATATTATAAAGAAGGCTGAGATGCAGACCCCATCGATGGCTGCCTCCACTACCTTGTACTACCCAATCCCCAAAAGTTTCCTTCTTTCTCCTCCCCGACACAGACGAAACCCTAATTTCATCTCTTGCTCCACCAAACCCATTTGCTCTCCTCCTCCTTCACCTTCTCCTCTGCAAACGACAACAAACCATCGAAGCCAAAACCAGAGTTTGCGTTTACCCACTTTTGAAGATTCGTTTCTTCTTTACCAATTCAGCTCTCCGACCGAGGACCCAGGTTTCTCTAACCGGATCCCTGAACAATTCGACGTAGAGCCACGCGAATTGGCGTTGCCGAGAGTAGAAGACAACAAGGGCTTGGCAATTTCGTCGAACATGTGGTGGGCAGATCTGAAAGCGGCTGTTGGGCAACGAATCAATGTTGAGGGTATCGTTTCTTCGGTCTCCGTTGTTGTTAGGGATCGTCATTTGGTTATTCCGCATGTTTCTGTGAAAGATTTAAGGTACATTGATTGGGGAGAGCTGAAGAAGAAGGGCTTCAAAGGTGTAGTATTCGATAAAGATAATACTCTTACGGCTCCTTATTCTCTAGCGATTTGGCCACCACTCCGGCCTTCCATTGAGCGGTGTAAAGCCGTATTTGGTCATGACATCGCTGTGTTTAGCAATTCTGCTGGTAAAATTTGGATAAAGTTTGAATTTTTTGTTTCTTTGGCTTTTATAGTTTCTGGTTGATTGAAGATGCTAATTTTTTTTTTTTACTTCCGGGTCTGGAAAATTCAGGGCTTACGGAATATGATCATGATGATTCGAAAGCTAAAGCATTGGAGGCTGAAATAGGAATTAGAGTGTTGAGGCATAGTAAGTGACTTGATCTTCTGTGAATGTCTTGGTTTTTTTTATCACTGTAACTGATCATTGATAAGGACTGTTTTTGATTCATGACTGAAGGAGTAAAGAAGCCTGCGGGAACTGCTGAAGAAGTCGAGAAACACTTTGGTTGTACATCTTCAGAGCTAATCATGGTAAATTCATAATGAACCTGGTGATTTGTGTTTTGGTAGATAAGATGTTTATGTAGTTGAGCGTTTATGTGCAGGTGGGTGATCGACCTTTCACAGATATCGTTTACGGGAACAGAAACGGGTTTCTAACTGTATTGACCGAGCCTTTTAGTCGAGCTGAGGAGCCTTTCATCGTTAGGCAGGTTGGTCTTTTTCCCCTCTCCCTTTGTAGTATACCTTGGCGTGCTGATTTAAGAATGGAAGTACACAACTCTGTTTCTGCATCTCACTTTTAGTTTTTCAATAATATTGTGTAGTATAGCTGAGTGGGAGTTATATCACTTATTTTTGCAGGTGAGGAGATTAGAGTTGGCCTTGTTGAAACGTTGGTTGAGAAAAGGTTTGAAGCCTGTGGATCATAGTTTGGTATCAGATGTAACACAGTTTGTTAAGATTCCATCAGATTTGTAAGAAGGATTCTCAGTTTGCTAAAGCAACAACTACTTTGTTCCTTTTTTTTTGTGTAATAGAAATTTTGACTTGTTGGGTTTTGGCCAAATGCATGAAGATGAGAAATGCCGTTTTTGATATTCTACTTCTCTTTTTGAACCCGCAAGATCTTCATATTATCAAATTTAAAGCACATTAACATTTAACTATTTCTCTTGCGATAAAAGCAGCTAAGTCTATATTGAGCTTAAGATAATACTGTGTTGTAGCTTATTAGACCATCGGCACGTCAAATAAAGAAGTAAAGACATCAAGAGCAACTCAAGCAAATTGTGGCGAAGAATCAAATGAGGGCAAGCCATATCAATAGTAAATGACTAAACATTCGGGGGGAAAAGAAGTTCAATGGTTTTGCAATTGGTTTGAAAGAGTTTCTAGGCAAATTAAACAAAAGAATCGGAATGCAATTCCATGGGAACTTTTGCAAAACTATGAGCACCTTTCGTTCTTCGGGGACTACTTTTTGCAGTCCACTTCTTATACAAGGAGTTCGACATTGCAACTCGATGACTTGTTGTAGTCTTCTATCATCTGCAGGATTCTGATCTCTGTTGGATCATTCTTATAAATCTTCATCTTCTTCAAACATGGAAAGTAGTCCAAGAAATGCTTTATCATTGTCATCTCTTTCATTGTTCCTTGAAACCCTTGAATCTTTAACATCTTTACTGGGCAGGATGTGAGCGAACGACCTTTGTCCTCCCGAGAAATGCAGTCACAAGCATCCCCGCATTTATCTGTGGCATCGTGCAAGAGACCCTGAAAGCATAAAGGAGACAATAAGGGATTCTAAGTTTATACTCAATATATGTACATGTTTGGAAGATGAGTAGTTTATATACCCTGAAGATTAGAGTTTCTAAATGTGGACAGTTCCTTAGAAGAACTGGGATTGCCTGCCAACCTCGTTTCTTGTCACTCTTAATATCTAATGATTTGAGGTTTTTGAACACTGGCATCGCGTCACAGCAAATAGAAAGCAGCTGAAAATAAGAAAAACACAAGTAAATAATTTGCAGTTACATGTCTTAAAACTATACCTTCACTGTTCGTTAAAATGAGATAGAACAAACATGACCTGTATGCTCCAGGAGTTGAAACAAAGTCCTGTTTAACGTCTTTAGTAGAATAAATATATTCCAAGAGAGAGAGAGAGAAGAATAGAAAAAACTGACCTCTAGAGTATCCGGACACAAAAGCAGATGCTGAACATTTTGTATGCCATGAAAGAGTTTCCACACATTATTAAATCCGCGAACAATGCCTTGGTCAAACCAATGATCATCATCTGGTTCTCTAGCTAGCTGTACTTGCTCTTGACATAATGAGAAGGCAATTCGAGCAGTAGATAAGTTTTTCATGTTAACAAGTGGATAGTCCAGCTCAACATCACGGGTGGTGTACTCAAAGTAAGTGAGACTCGGTGTATCCAAGGAAAGAGAGCCAAGGACTTCGCTGTCACCTATTGCTAGGGACTTGAGGCTTGCACTTGATACGGTCACATCCCCATCATCCCAGATCACACAAGCCAGGAGTAATTCCTCAAGTGCAGGCAAATCATGAAGAAGAATCTCAATATTAGTAACACAAGCTGTGTCAAGAACGAGTGTTTTAAGCATAGGTAAGAAAATGCTCCCAGCCAACCAATCAATATCAATTCCGGTGCATAGTTTCAGGTTGACAAGTGTGCTGCTCTGGAAAGCTTTTGGAGATAGGCGATAATAATCATCTTTCTCCGGATCCAAAATTAATAGATTAAGGTCGGAAACACCACGCTTTAACACATTGTGTATCCAACGATCCACACGATCTAAATCCACGGCAGAATAACAGCTGAGGGAGCATTTCTTAATGGGAGACTTGCCCTGCAAAGCCAATACCCTATCCACAAAGTCCATGAAGCTCTGTATAATTTCGGGCCTACGCAGCGCAAAGGCAGAGTCTTCAATGTCAAGACAAGGAACAAATGCAAGCAGATGGCGCCACCTCTTGGAGAGCACCGACGTCAAAGCAGCCTCCTTTGTGGTAAGGAAGGACAATATATGACAGAGAAGCTCGTCTGGTAGACTGCTAATACGACCCATCTTCTCTGCACGACACTAAAGAGGAGGAGTTAAGTAGACAAATCTCAAGGCTTTTTCATCAGAAACATCACGGATGCATAAATACCAAACACTTCTACTGCGCACAATCTACTACGAACAGGGTATATATGGAGCATGTGGTGGCCATAGTACAGGTAAATGTTGCAAAATAAAAGAGAACACACACCAATTGTCTCCGGGGGCGAACTCTTGCTCCCAAGCTCCACTATTTGAAACTGCTTATCACTTGTGACGTTATTTTGTTTTACAGGTTCTCTCTTAAGGATCTAGGATCAAGAAGAAGAAACAACACTCTCTACAACTCTGTTTTAAGCGTGCCTTCTCAGCTTCCTCTCTACCTCTCTTTTGATCCAACGTCACAACAGTATATATATCTGTGGGCTCTAGATCCTTCTCATATTGTCTCTCAATGTCCATTTTCGTCGGCCCATTAAGGCCCAAATATTGTGTTTTGTCAAACCCATCACAAGAATCTAATTACGTATAACAGCTAATTCATTTTTATTTATTTATCAACAAACAGATAATTCAAACATGATTTTTTTTAACTACGCAAATAGAGATCCACCCAAAGGAGAATATGATCGGTAGAAGCAGAAGAAATGAGTAAACTTGAGCTTATACCTTGTTCCAAAGTCCAAACGATTAATCCAAGACTCAATACGGCGGGCCAAACAGTGAACCATATCAAAGTAGATGATAATGCAAAAACACTTCCTCACGTGGCTTCATTGGCGTTCGATCTGAATAGTCACGTGACTAATGTTGTGTTCCCTCTTGATGTAATCAATAATCTTGTCCAGAACCATATCTGCCTCTGCCCCGGGTCTGATTTTAACATGACAAGCCAACAAGAGTTTGCCAACAGTAATCGCCCAAATGTGAAGCTCATGAACAGCCACCACTTCTTCTATCTCGCACACTCCTTTTTCGAGCATTGTGGCGTCGATCTCTCGTGGCGTTGACTCCATTAAAACCTCTAGAATGTTCCTAAGCATCCCAATTGTCGTCCCTAACACAATCACAGAGAAAACCAATGTGCATATCAAATCTATGATCTTCCACTCCGGCTTATACCATATGATTGCTCCTCCTATCATCACTCCTACGCTTTGTATCGAATCTCCCAGCACGTGAAGATATGCCCCTTCAATATTTACATTCCGCTTCTTCTTCTTCTCGACTAAGACCTCAGATAGATGTGATTCATCATGATGATGCTCGGTTGCGGTTATTCCATGTTCATGGTCATGACAATGATTATGACCATGACCATGGTCATGACCCAACAGAATAGCCATAGCAATGTTTACAAGTAAACCAACTGCAGATACAACAAACATAAGAGATCCCTCAACTTCACCACTACCGTTCTTAAGTCTAACTATGGCTTCATAAACCAAGATACCAGCAAGAAGCCAAATCATTTGAATAGAGACAAGAGCACCTAGAATCTCCATTCTGAAAAACCCATATGATTGCTGCGGGTTTGCTTTCCATCCCGAAGCCCAGAGCGAGAACAACGATATGGCAAAGGCTGCTACATCAGATAACAGATGAGCTGCATCTGTCAGAATCGCAAGACTATTGGCCTTGATTCCTCCAACGACCTCTACGGCAATGAAAATGGCACAGAGAAGAACAGCTATTAATAGCTTCCTAATTGATGCTGCACGTTCTTGCGCTTCCATTGAACTCGTCTTGGCATCTGAGAATCCGCAAGGTGCTTCTCCACATGTCTTCTTGATGCCCACCAAGCTTTTTTCTCCTGATGAAACTTCCCCACAAATCTGAACTATGTGGTCATACTCATGAATATGGTCTTCCATCTGAAAAGGAAAAGAGGAAAACTCCTTGATGAACCTCAACGTAAAACAGTGACTGTGCAATCAAAAACACATAAAAAGAGAGATATATGGACGCAAAATTAGGACAAGAGTTTGAAAGACGAGATAGTGTTTGTCGGTTTGTCCGAAGACAAACAAGTAAGATACCCTTTTCTGTAAGAGAGAGATCGAGATGTAATTTGGGTGTAATCATACCATTCTGGACAACTCTTTATATATCAATTCTCATAACCAAAAGTCATACCCATAATTGGAAAATTGAGAAGAAGAAAAAGAGACATAGAGAATGTCATGATCCATGCCTCCCATTAAGTCTCTTTCTCAAAATTATAAAATATCATATATTAAATATTACATTGGCAATCAATCTGAGACACAATATGACTGTTGACTATCAAACTTTTCATTGTATGACTATACTACATGTTTAATTAGAATGCTCAATCCTGAAAATCAAAATAAGATTTTCTAGTTTGGCTTTTCAAATCTCCCAAGATTACAATTTTCTTTATTACGTTAAAACTATATTTGAATAAAAACCAAAATATAACTTTAACAAACCGATTTACAGTAATCAGTATATCTGGTTTTATACAAGTAAAAAAAAAATACCAAACGTGGATCACATCTAAGGCCAAACAAAGTTGAAAAAAAAATAGACTTGGACTGGCATTACCCTGTACTAATTGCTCCATATTTGGAGGTACAGGAACATTCCAGATCAGTTTCTAAAGAATACGGTCTTGAGTTAACCACAACATTTCTCTTTAGGTTTTCCACATTTCTAAGCATATCAAAAGTCAAAAAACTGTAGCCTTTCATTGTCAAATGAGTGTATTGTAAATTTTAATAACAAATAGAAGAATGTAAGACATACCTTAATGTTGAAAAGCTTTGGATTTTTCGTTAACCAGCCACTTATACTAATACCATTTCTTTTTGTACTTCAGCGTGTAGTATATAACCTGGCGAAAGAATGAAGATAGTCGAAAAAAAGATTGTCTATCATAAGATGTCTCAACACGAGGATTTCTAGCTTTGGCTTTCTTGCTTAAGAGTAAGTCATTATCGCACAAAATCTCTCAATATGGAGAGCAGCATATAAGGAATATGCCTCCAACATTAGAGTTCTTACAGATTCAGCAACCACAACAGACTAAGTGGTCATCGTTAACTAGAAACAAGAATCAAAAAGCAGCTGGCTTCACGCAACTCTGCTTAATCAAAGCAGAGAGTTTTGTTTAGTTACGCTAACAAAAATTGACTTCTTAACTCTAATCACAGTCACTAGAGTGAACATGATCATTCCAGACTCAAATCGTAGTGGACCTTTTAAGCATGTTCCTTTGGAATCAGATATATTGTCCTATGCAATGCTTCCTACAACTTTCAAAGGATGATCTTGATATATGGAAATCTGACAGCAAATTAGCTCATATGCGAATCAAACCAGTTAAAGATTTGGTCAGACTGCAAGCTCGTCATTTCATGATATGCATATGCAAGATTCAGTTCTTCCTCAACAGGAGTAACCAATCTTTGTTCGAGTGATATTTTGTAGCCACTGAGAGCTTGTTTCCAGGGTGTTCTCCGGCCATCACGTTTCATGTATCCCTTCGCATCAACAAATCCCATGTCTTGAAATAACTTAAACAGTTTGGCCGAGACATCTGAATCAAGACCTGGAATCCTATCTGCCAGGAAATCAGGAGAAAGCGGCATATCCAAGCATTCAATCTCAGCAGCATCAATGCCTTCCATTCTGAGACCTTCCAAAAACTCTCTAATCTTTTGTTGTCTGTAGACATCTTTAGGCATGTGCACAAAAAGAGTCGGCGGATACTGTTTACTGAGACTAATTTGATCAAAGACTCCTTCAGCAATCATAAGCACGATGCTACTAAACTGCAACTCTGTCGCAAGAGCAGAGACAAAGTAGCCACCAGATGAAGCCCCTAAAGCAACAAGAGGAAGCCTTTCAAGCTTGTGGTTCTTGACCCACGATTTTATGATGTTTTCAACAATGGTTTTCTCCTTACCGAATGTCCAGCAATTCCCAGCACTAGATACAGTTAAAACAGCAAACTTCCTAGCTAAAGCAAATCGGATAAGAAACCTCTCCTCTGGTAGACCAGTACATTCAGGGCAATCTGAAGATTTCTCCCAAAAGTCGAAAGCTTTCCTGTGGCATCCATGAGCAATAAACAGAACTGCCTTTGGCGAATTTGGTATCTTCCATATCAACTGAGTCCCGTTCTGAATCTCTACGGTTGGATGAGATTGCAATTCGGGATTGACATTGTTTGAAATATGTCTCGGTAGCTCCAATTCCAGTTCTGACCTCTGATTCTTTCCACTGAAACAAAATAACAGAACTGCCACCAGTGAGATCCCAACAACGAAGAATAAAACTCCGAATTGATTGATTCGAGATCCATGCGACGACTTCCCTTTGTCAGCACGCTTCAACATCACTGCAAAGACAATGTTGAATCCCACAATTAAACGGAACAATGTCACAAACAAAAAAAACAGCATAAGATTAAACACATACCGGATGAGAAGAGATGAATCTGTTAAACCCTATTTCCAAATCTGACCACGACCGGTAAGGTTCCGGGAGAACTTCCGATGTTGTGAACGACGACTTTACGATCGTGAAACACATGTAATAAGAGTCGAACCATATTTTTGTTTTCGTTTCAGATGAAAAGCGCTCCATTTTGCATTTTTTGGCTCACAGTTCCTGCCGTTTTATACCAAACAAAGATTGTTTGTTTTTTCTTCTTAAAACACACATGAACCGTGAAGCTAGTGAGTAGTGTGACACTGTAGCGATGCTGTCACTAAATAAAATTTAATTTTAATGGTTACAAAATAATATTAGTTACCAATATACTCTTCAGTTTAAAAGCATACAATTTCAAAACTTTATAAGTCTAAACAAAAATAGTGAGAAAATAATCAATACAAAATATATTCGATCATAGGTAAATGATCAAGGCCGGGCTGAATTGACCTAAAGCGTGTTTTATGTATCAAAATGTCGAGGACATCAGTTATGAAAAATCAGATATACAGTGTCAGTGGTTGAGTAAAGTTATAACGAAGAGGTTGCGATAATTCTGAGTAGTTGTTTTACAATTTTTTTTTTTTGTTAACGAGTAAATTTTATGTATATATATTCTTTTTCTCTAGGTCCGTGAATACAACGTACCAGCCATGTTGCAACCACTATCTCAAATATGCACCTATAGAGCATCATTAGACGATCAAAATATGGAGAAATTATTTCATTAAACGGCTTTCTTATACAAACGTAAAAGTATGGGATAGAAAGGTTGTGAAGCTGGAAAGTTTAAGGTAACGTTTTGAAACCAGATTTTTTTTTTTTTTTTTTTTTTAACAGTGCATGGAAAGATTAATAAAATTTCGAAATCTATCAACTTGCGTGAAGAACATTGGCAATCGCACTATCGATACATGCAGAAACGACAAAACGCATGTTGTCTAACTTTCTGCATTAATTCATATGATTTACGTTATCCAACCAGCTGACACATTTTAGACTTTGATCTAATTCTGGCCACACTATATAGTTTCTAACACATTATTTGCTTTCATCGTGAGAAAATTAAAAAAAAATAAAAATAAAGAAAGGAGCTAAACATCAGAATTTGTTATGGTGGGATTAATATATGAATTCGTAGAAAATTCACGTACATATATGGTTCGAATATTCGATCTAAAAATATGTTTGACGCCAACAAAAAACTCTACTACTTGATCAGTTTTGTGAATCAGAATTATATAAACTAAAGCAACAACATTTATCTTAGTTGATCAACTGACGAGTTATAATCCAAGAATATGTATCTTAGGTTATACTGTTAAAAACATAGTTGCATTACATAGATATCCTCCATCCACACTGGCCATAATTAATTACGATATGACCCTTCTTAATTTCTTATATAATATAGTCATATATATCTCCCAACCATTCAGAATCAATCATGAACAAAAACACAAAATAAGCAAAGGTAACATTATAACGTGCATACAATTCACACGCCTAGGCTCTCACTAGCACGATAACACTCAAAAAAATCTATGAGCGCATCTTGTTACTCGTTTAATAAACAATAGTTTAGGGGTCGTTTAGAGTTGTTGTTTTACTAAGGTTATTTAAAGTTGTACTTTTTTTTTGTGTGTGTCGGCAAACATCTTATTTCATCACTAGCTGAAGAATAATAAAAGTATCTTAGAAACGGTAAGAGTACAAACTACTGTAATGACCAATATAAGTTTATCGAAGTAGTCCATTGATTTACGAAAAGATCAATTTAGTTAACCAGTATATGTAGTTAGTTAAATCCCAAAACAAAAAAAAATTAACGTTAAAAACTAGTAATATAAAACAGGTGCATTGGCAATCATAATTAACAGAGGGGGGGGGGAGCAATTAATGGACGGTGATCTCCAGGAATAGCGCACCATTAATTCCATGTGGGTTCCCACACTGGAACCCCTCTCTCTGCTATGTGTCGGTGTGACTCCACATAAATACAAAAACACTCTCTATTCGTCGAGAAGGACACTTGTGTAATCATCTGTAGCTTAATTATCGTCCATAATTCGTTTTTTACTCAATCATCTTACCTTTTCATTAATTACGTTTGATTAGTTTTATATACCTATAAAATCCTAATATATTTACGTACAAGTATGTAAGGAATATATTTGCTATGAGATAATGTGCTAAATTCCCGCGGAGTTGAACGCGGCATTGGTTTTGGCTTTTTTTAATAAAAAAAAAATCTTTATTACAAGGAATAAATTTATTTCATACTATAGACAAACTCGTGACTCAGAATAGTATTTGGTGAAATAATCATTTATCTCCATTATCTCTATTAACAAAACCCAAAATTGTATGTAAAATGCGTTTATTTGTTTTTGGGTTAACATAAATTCAAACAACATATGTCCCCTTCCTTTGGCTTCTTTAGGAATTACTCTTCTTTGAATGTTGTTGTTAGTTTTTATTCCCCGTCCGTCGTACAGATCAACACAAAAACCCATCCCAGTCCCTCTCTCTCACTCGTCGTCGTGTCGAGCTTCGTTTTCTCCATTGATCCGAATAATCCTGGATTCTACGTTTGCTTTGATCATCGCATCTTCGTCTCCCTCCCTGTTCTGATTTTTCTTTGTTTCTTCTGATTAAGTGAGAGTGGGGATCGGAGATCTGGAGAACAGAGTCGCGTGTGTGTGTTAACTGTTTTTGGATTGATGGAAGTGGAGAGAAAGTGTGAGATAGTGAGGGAAACTGTGAAGAGATGAAGTTCTACATATCGGCGACAGGGATTAAGAAGGTTACGATATCGAATCCAGGCGTCGGAATCGGAAAAGGAAGCGGAGGATGTGTCGCGGCGAGGAGATTCTCTGCTCGGACGTTGTTACTGTTGCTCCTGCTGCTCGCTATCGTACTCCCTTTTATCTTCGTCAGGTTCGCGTTTCTCGTCCTCGAATCCGCCTCCGTTTGCGATTCTCCTCTCGGTACCCTTCTTTCTCCCTCTTTTTTTTTCTGTTAAGGATTGTTTAGGTTTTCAAATCATCTGCCAAGTTTGGTAACGAGTTTTGCAAACCTACCTAATTCTGGAAATTAATTTGTTCAGATAGCTGCAAATGTGTGAATTCAGTTAATGAGATTGATTGGTTTCAATTTGGATAGAACTTGCTCATCTTCTTCGTATTGAATGCTATTATGCTTTGTATTTTTTTATTTATTTTCGTATGATTTGGTTATTTCATAAATATTACTTTTTCATTTTGACTCTTGTATTTTCACAGAGTGCATGGGACTGAGACTTTTCCGTGGGGGCGACACATCTCTGGTAACCTTTTTTTTTTTTTAATACTAGTACTACTCTAATTACTACATTCCCAAGTCAAGTGTATTAAAACGTCTTTCTTCCTTGTCACTTTTATGTCGGCAAATACTACTAGTATATACTACTTTTAG